TCTAGTTTCATTCGAGGGTCTGGCGCTTGATGTCACTCAACAGTCTTCTCAGCGTGTGTCCAACCCATTGCCATTTTTTTGTTTGTTTCATATTTCTTGGACGATAGATTTTCGATCTGTTTGTTACTAGAATTCCTTGTAAATTGATCCTTTCCGGGAAACTAATTTCCAGTATGGTTGGTGTGAAGACAGTTGTTGATGGAAGTCTACAGTGACTTTTTGAAAAAGCTATGGGTTGATGCATCAAGTCTGTGAACCAAATTAGAACTGACATGATATATAATTGTGTTGGAAATTCTAATCTTGTTGTTTATGCGTTGAATGCAACAGATTTTACAGATTGATTTCAGATGAATGAAGGTGTGTGTATCTTACTTTTCTGATTGTGCCGTTGACATACTCATCTGTCTTCCTTCTTTGTTTATATTTTGGCCGTTTTGGAGAACACCTCCAACGCTAATTTCAATGCGACATCCTTAGTCTTAAGGAATTTAACATGGTTGAAATATATATACATATACCCTGAAGACCTGATGACTGTGATTGTGTGGGTGTGACTCATTGGCGCTTAAACACTCGTTTTTAACCGAAGGGTTACTGTTTCGACTCCAGTCCTCACTGGAGGACTATAGGTTTCATGTTTTTCGGTACTCATTGTCAGTCAGGTAGGTGTATCTTCAATCTTGAATAGAACTCATGTCTTTTCTGAGATTTGAACCTGGGTCATCCAGTGGTGCAGTCAGAGACGTTTCACCATTGAGATATTCGGGTTCGTGATTTACCTCCTGTCATATTGTAATGGATACTAGTGTCATGCATGTAGTCCTTGGTGTAGACTAAATTCGATTAGTCAGGTATGCAATATAGCCACTATGCTGGACACATGGCATTAGTTACTATGCAGTGTCCAATGAAAGTATGTATATACATGACATGGTACCCTATACAAACATTAGATAACAAAATCAAAACAACGTTAAATAAACTAACGAAATCAGGACAAATTACAAAACAAGACCAATGGCGAATGAAATCTAACGGACCTATTTTACCTCGATTCTATGGTAAACCAAAACTACACAAACCAAACATTCCCTTACGACCAATCGTTTCGCTTCCAGGAACATCAACATAGAATCTATCTAAAGAACTTTTCAGGAAATTAAATTACCTAACAGAATCATGCGACCATTCTATCAATTCGTCAATCCAATTTTTTTAGAGAAAATTAAAAACATTCAAGTAGATGACAATGAAATAATGGTGACCTTTGATGTCACAGCATTATATACTTCAATTAGTTCAAAACTAGCAACAGAAACTATGCAACAATTACTCTATAGTGATGAAAACATAAAAACGCAATGTTCAACTTGGATAGAACTCATAGAATTATGCCTTACAACATACTTCCAATTCAATACTCAAATATATGAACAAATAAAAGGAACACCAATGGGATCGTCCATATCCGGATTAATAACTGAAGCCATTGTGCAAAGATTAGAATTAACAGCTCTACCTATAATTAAACCAAAAGCCTGGCTACGTTACGTTGATGATACATTTGTAATAATTAAGAGAAATGATTTAGAATATACCCATAAATTAATAAACAACATATTTGAAGACATCAAATTCACAAGAGAAGAAGAATTAGATAACAAAATCCCATTTTTAGATGTCTTAATCAGGAGAACCAACACAGGAGATTTAGAAACACAAGTATATAGAAAATCAACGCACACAGATCAAATACTCAACTATACTAGCAATAATCCAATTACTCACAAAAGAAACTGTGTGCAGACATTGTTTAAAAGAATTCAAACACATTGTAGCACTACTCCAGAGTTGAAAAGAATGGAAGAAAAATACCTACAAACGGTCTTCAAAAAGAATGGTTATCCACAAAATTTCATCAAAAAGTGTTTAAAATCGAATCAAAACACCAACAAGGAACCATCATCAAAGAACACAAGAAAATTCATCCTACCATACATGAAAAATATCTCTGAAATAACAGCTAGAATACTGAAACCGTTTGATATAGATATAGCACACAAGTCAGTCCAATCACTTAATTCGATATGATGCAAACCGAAAGATCCAACAGAAAAAGGAGATAAAATTAATACCATTTACAAAATAAATTGTATGAACTGTAACAGACATTACATCGGTCACAGTAGGCGTCCCCTTAGAAACAGAATCCAGGAACACAAATCAGTAGTGAAAAGACATGATATATATTCTTTCATATCAATGCATGCAGATAATTATGGACATCAGTTTGATAACTGGGATAATGTCGACATTTTAAACAGAGGAAACACCAAAAGTACCAGAGAATTCCTAGCAGCCTGGTACTCAAACGAATGTTGCGATTAACAAACATATTAATATAGACCAAATCTACCAACTAATAAAAAGTACATCATGTGACGAGAAAGTTTAAAATCCAAGTCAATAAAAAATGATCAATACAGATGTAAAGATGGTTACCAGGAGACGCAATTCTATCACTGATGGAAAATTTAATCAATTCACTTTATGCTAAAACTTGCGCTGAAGTAAGATGTTGTCCAGAAGGACGACGAAAGCTCCGCAACTAAACCAACCAGCTCTTCAGAGAACACTACTAATTGTAAATCATCCCCCTCAGCTACAAATCCATTTACTCAGGCCAAAGTAAGTGGAGACGAACTGACTAATTGATTTTCCATATAGAATTTAGCACAGAAGTGAAGCAGTCAAACTTGCCACGCCCCATGTAGCCACACAAAGGTAGACAAAAGATACAGGCAAAGAAAGAAGCAGATTCAAAAGGACTGTAACAATCAACTATACGAGGCAGAAAGAATAATAAAAATAGAAAAACATGACACTTTAGTGGATATGGAGGATCACAGAGAGTGAATTCATCTGCACCATTGAGGACGATTTTTAGCCATATCATCAACAGTCTCCAGCTACTAGTTCTTAAAATCTCGAGGAGTCAAAACAGGCAGCAGTCTACACCTTTCTATATGGCTGGCTGTAACTAACTGTCAAAGACCTGTCATGGACTGATGACAGGTTTTAGTTTCACCAACCCTAACCCTTTTCCAACTTAATTCTACGTTGAGAAAGGCGATGGCTAGGCATGCGCAACACGTGCCCTAGGCTATCTTGGTCTATCCACCTTCACAACCTAATCTCCTTACCTAACACTCTACGCTCAGAGTCAATATTACTGACTCACTCCCGTGTCACTTAACACGGGAGAGAGAAAGCAGATACCTTCGATCAACGATAGCTAGTCTCTTCTTGTAATGGTCATGTTTCACAGCCATAAAGGAGGATGCAGTGAACTGCTACACAGTACATACATCCTTTGGTCAATAGCTAGATATCATATCTAAGGCACAAATGACGTAGGCTGGCAAATGCTGAGTGTTTAGGTCAATGAGCCAAATCCTACAGCTGTGGAGCGGTAAGCGAAGGTAAAGCATTTACATCAATTAGACACAGCTCTAATCATTGTCTAACTGGATGATATCTAGTTTATGAATACACAAATGATTATTAAATGATAATTTAAATTTTTTTTAATGGTGAGAATTTTTTTTCCTTCACGTTTCCTAGTGGAACATAGGGCTTCAAGCTAGTGGCTTGAAGTTTCTATAGCAGTGTTTATTTTACAGGATGGGGTTGCTAGCCTCATGCCCAACCTTTCCTCTTCACCAGCATTATTTCTGGCTTAGCGAGGTAAAAGAGTGCGTCGGTGGCCGGGGATCGAACCCCGGACCATGTGCATGGTCGGCGAGCGTCCTAACCGCTATGCCACCGATGCACAAATGGTGAGAATTAGTAGACATAAAATATTCGCAAATGTTTAACATCCGATGAAAAATCTTACTGTTCGTTATTTTTAATAGCAGCATCTTTAAAATGGTAATTATTATACCACTGGGTTTGCCTCGAGACTTGAAGGTCTTGGCTTTTATATCTAGTGGAGTTAAGGGGGCGTAGGTGGATGAATTCTACTAACAGAAAGTTGTCATTTGAAATAATGATAACGAGTGGTAACGAGTTACGAGTCGAGAAGGCTCAGTCTTCCCGTATTTGTTTAATTTTATCAGTTAGTCAGTCACTACGGGTGCTTACTGTTGAAGACTCCCAGACTAGGACGAAACAGCTATCCAGTCAGTCCTGTCTGGTTTTCAGTGCTTCTTCTCTAACTGATGTCAGTTTGTAATCTAACAAGTAATAATCGCCTCATGGAATAATACATAAGACTTTAAAATCACTTGATAATTATGGAAATAAAAACAGATTTGTTACAGGATTTTCATCATGAGCTGACATTAGTTAGAGAACCATTGGAAAACCAGCTGGGAGTACTGGACAGCTGTTTCGTCCTAGTTTGGGACTCTTCAGCAGTACCGGGATTCGAACCCAGGACCTTCTGGTTACAAGGCGAGCTAGCTCGTAGACCATTAAGCCACTGGGACCCGATCCAATGGCCAGTGCATGAATTCTAACTTCTGCCAATTCACGACATAGCGCGACCCCTAGCTCATGATGAAAATCCTGTAACCAATCAATCAAATCCCTACAAACCAACACTTGAAAAACAGATTTGATTAAATTTAGCACTATACACTGACAGAGAGAAGGAGAGAGAGAGACTTACTGAGCATAATAGTTTTTAAGAAATATCTGCAAATTTGTTGATCCCATATTCAATTGTGTTTTTAAACCGTCAATTACACCGACTAATGATTGACAAGCTGATTTCTTTTCTTCATCACTTTCAAGATTTAAAAAATTGAAACTTAAATATAAAATGACACACATCCATAAAATAATAGCTGTAGTTAATAAAGAATTTGAATGTGATAATTGTCTGAAACCTGAAAAATTGAGGAAAGGTGAAATTAGACGGTAAAAAAAAAAATATGTAAAAATTTACTTGTTATCACCATTTTAAGGGGGGGAGATAAACCGAGGAAAATTTATTGGCGTGTACCAAATCGTTGCAAGTGGTTCTGGAAGGAGAAAAACAAAGGAAACAATGTTATATATATATATATATATATACATATGCATATATATATATATCTATATTAATATATATATATATATACATGGATATATATATATACATATATATATATATATATATATATATATATAATCAGCAGGATACTGTTTACTCCCGACGTGTCTCCACTGATCTGGTGTGGATATTATTATTATTGTATCCTTTAATTCCTAGAGGAACATAGGGCTTCAGCCAAACGTCTCCATTGCCTTCGGTTCTCTGCTAGAGTCTTCACCTGGCTCCATGTCTGCCCACACGTTTTCATCTCATCTTCACATCACCTCCTCCAAGTCACCCTTGCACTGACGACCAACTCGCCGCTTCCCTTTCGGCCGGATTCCACTCGAGCAATGGCTTGTCTAGTGATGTCACTTGATGACTTGTTTCCTCAGAGTATGGCCAGCTAATCCATCTCCATTTCTTCCTGCCTATTTGTTTCACAATCGGTTCCTGCTGGGTTGGTTCGCTCATTGCCAGAGATCTCTGTTGCTGATCTTTTCTGGCCGGCCATCTGATCTTGAGTGATATTGAGCGAAGACAACTGTTAATGAAGGTCTGTAGTTTGTTTGAGATGGTCTTTATGACGCGCTGGCCAAGTCTCTGATCCGTATAGTAAGTAGCACTGACTTGACATTGGAGTTGAAAATCCGGATGTTATTTTTGATGGTGAGTGCTGTTGACCTCCACACAGACTTGAGAGTAGTGAAAGCTTGTCTTGCTTTTCGGATTCTTGCTTTGATATCCTCGTCAGTTCCGCCTGTAGTTGAAACGATGCTTCCAAGGTAGGTAAAGGAGGTTGTTCTTTCAGGTTCCTGTCATTTATGCTGATCGTTATCTGTTGTTGTTGCTGTCGGTGGTGTTGCCCAGGAATCTTCATCACCTCTGTTTTCTCTGTGTTCACCTGAAGGAAGTCCTATCTTGGATGCTTCTTCTTCCAACTTGTTGGTTTTCACTTGCATATCTTCCAATTTGTGGGAAATCAGACATATATCATCGGCGAAGTCTAGATCCTCCAAGTTCTTTTTTGTGTGAGTCCATTTTATGCCTGTTTCCTCATTGCCCGCTGTTTGTCGCATTATCCAGTCTACTGCAATCAGGAAAATCATTGGCGATAGTAGGCAGCCAGCTTGTCTTACTCCTGTCCTCACTTCGAAGGATTCCGTAAGTTTCCCGTTGTGGATTACTTGGCATGCAGCATTGTCGTACAACTGTTGGATGAGATGTATAATTGTCGGTGGCACCCCGTAGTAGCGAAGTAGTTGCCAAATCACCTCTCGATCGACGTTGTCGAAGGCCTTTTCAAAGTCGATGAAGTTGAGATAGAGAGATGACTGCCATTCCAAGCTTTGTTCAATGATGATCCGTAATGTGGCGATCTGATCAATACATGACTTGTTTCTCCTGCTGCTTACAAATCTTTTCGTAGTGTTTTTTATCGAATGAAGCACAATCAATGAATCCGTCCAGTAAGTCGTAGACGAAATCGGTACACGAAGCTGTTGTTGCAGATGTCTACCAATCTTGAGACATAATACAACAGCTACTAACTCTAGTCTAGGTATAGTAACAGATTTCAATGGTGCGACCCTCTAGATTTTGCCAGCAGTAAAGAACAATGAACTTAGCTGGAAAAATCTTCTACATGGATGATATATACTACAGCACCGTATGCGAATTCTGAAGCGTCTGAGAAACAGTGAAGCTGAATGCTCAACAATTCACAAAAAATGGGCATTATACATCGTGGAATACGAATTTTATGCAAATAATTAATATTCTTATACCATCTATTCCAGGCGGCTAGACAGTCTTCAGGTAGGTCTGCATCCCATTCTAATCGCCTTCTACATGTATCTTGCAAAATTAATTTAGCAGGCAGCAATGTCGGTGCTGTAATTCCAACCGGGTCGAATATCGACAAAAGAGTCCTTCTGGTTGTTCTTGTTTTAAACTCACGTGTTCGAAAACAGATACTGTCACTTAATACATTCCATTCTATACCCAGCGTCCTCTCGTTATTCTCTTTAGATAAAAGGATATCGATGTTCCTCTCTGCGCGGTCTTCTTCATTAATTCTCGGTTATTACTAGTCCATTTGGTCAGATTAAATCCTCCTAGTTTTAGGATCTGTTTCAGCTGAGTATAAATCAGCTTACCCTCATCTAACATATTAACACTAGTAAGCAAATCGCCAACACAAAACTGTTCTATAGCTACTTGAATAACACGCTAGTCGAACTTATCAGCGTTGTCTGAGATAGTCCTTTGTAAGGCAAAGGTCGCACAACTCGGCGAAGATGTTGCTCCGAAAATATGCGCCTTCATTCTCTAAACTGCTGGTTCCGTTTTCACGTCGCCGCCGACCCACCATAAAAATCTAAGAGCGTTTCTGTCTTGCGAAGGAACGATCACTTGATGAAACATAGCTTCTATATCTGCAGTGATGCCTATTGGTCGCTGCCGAAATCTCATAAAGACATCCACCAAATTATTTACTAGATCCGGACCAGAATACAGATTTTTTATTCAGAGATATTCCTGCATACTCTGCCGCATTGGAAAACCGGATGGTGTGGCAAGTACCAAACCTGTCCATTAACGTGATCCTCTTCGACCATTTCAGCGAAACCTCTTTCAATACAATGAGACATTACATCAGTATACTCTTTGTGCAGGTCTGAGTCTTGACAGAGGCGTTTCCTCAACGAATTGAGTCTACTCATCGCCAGTTTTCTATTATTAGGTAAAATTTGTTGTCGACGCCATGGAAGTGCTATCTGATAATGTCCATCAACTAACTGTATGGACTCTGACATAATACTTAGAGCCTTAAGATTTCCAACAGACATGGGTACGTGACCACTCACATCGTCAAACTTATTCTTATAGAACCGTTCGAACATAGCCTCAATTTTTTCTGTAGCTAAAGTATGATTGATCATGCTAGTTTCTCCAAGGGTCTTCCTGTATGGTCCCAGTAATGTCCACCCCAAAAAAGTCTTTATGGCACAAGGTTCGTTAGCTCCACCAAGCCTTTTATCGATCGTTATATGAGCTTCTGGCACGTTGCAGCCAATAAGCATCTTAATTTCTTCATTCTTAACCTCCGGTAAACCTATTCTATCTAGGTGACTTCATGAGGCCATCTGATCTGCTGTTGGCACAACTCTTTGTAACTGTGGTAACCTCTGTACTGTCCATGCTTTAAAAACAGTAACATGAAGGGACGAATCCAACGGAGAGACTTTTAGTTGTACCTGCTTGCAAAGACAAAGTGGATTGTGAACCAAGCGTCTTAAGGCAGACTGTCTTAGTTGCTCCTACTAAACCTAATTCTCTTGCTAGATCTTCTGTGATCAGTGTAGCGTCTGAACCGCTATCCAAAAACGCACAGGTTTGAACTACATTACCATTATATCTGGCTAAAATGGGCACTATAGCGAATGCTGTCTCACTTATCGGAGTCTTGTGCAAAGTCATATCACTACACTGTTGAGCGTTGATATGCACATCACTTTTTATATCGTCGGATAATCCCTGGCTTCTGTGCAGCAATGTGTGGTGTCTCCAACCACAGCCTTCAACTGTACAGGACCTTGAAGAACGACAATTCTTTGCTATATGATTTGCTTTTAAACAGACGTCGCATAGTTTTCTCTTGGGAAACAAATGTCAGACGTTCATCAAGGTCTTTATCTTTAAACTCCGAACACTGGTCTAGAAAATGTCCTCCCGAACATAATATACAAGGTGGGATAAATAAACGTGTCTCATTCTTAGGACCATTATTCGGTTTTTCGACATTATTCTCTGAGAGCCGGGTAACAAAACACTCGGTGTTTAGAATCAGAGTTTTTCTTCGTAGGGATACTAAACTCTACTATTTTTCCCGTGGAATGACCATTGATTAGCAGCCCATACCTGGTGTTAACCATATCTGACTGCTTCTTAACAAACAAGCATAAGTCGCCAAATGATGGTTCGCGACCGCTTTTTATGGCGTTGCAAGCGACCTTTATCCATTCTCTCTGTGAATGGACAGGGAGTTTTAGAACTAGTTGTTCAATAGTTTTACCAGAATTCAAGTCTGAAACATAGCTCATCTGCTTTAATGTCGGTTCGCAGGCTTGCATCTCGTGAGATAACTTTCTTAATAATGCTGCATCGTTGCTTTTAACATTCGGAAATTCCAGGAGTCTCTCTATGAAAGTCCAGGCCACAACATGCCTTTGCCCAAATGCTTCTTCTAACAGTTCTAGGGCTTTATAATAACCTTCCTCTGGCTCTAACAAAACACAGTGTTTGATTATATCTTTTGCTTTTCCCTCACAATACTGAATTAAGTAATTTAGCTTAGTTCGGTATCCAATAGCATCATTATCCACCAAGTCTTCAAAATTCTTTATAAAATTCCAATAATTTACAGAATTGCCGTCAAACTTAATAATCTCTCTTTTAGGCATGTCCAGAAACTTGGACATGGCTCTGGCGAACTCATCGTTAGGAGATATAGCGACTGTACGAGAGGTAGAAGGCTTGTAAGGCGACTTATTATGATCAGAACATTCACGACTAGCTTGTCGTAATCTTTCCAATTCAATTTCTTTCTCTATTTGGACTATACGCATTTTTGCTAGCTCCAACTCTACCATATAGTTTGATGTATACTCGTTGCTTCCAGGGGCATCAGTCTCACTACTCTTTTCTGACTGTGGAGTTAACGTCAGCATAGTCTAATATATTTTTCGTCTGTCATTACTGTTCGAAACTTTGTAGGATTAATTTTGTCTACAGATTTAGTCCTTCCGATCAATACTGACAACACAGAGTCTTGGCTTAACTATAGTTAAAAACAGAGTGACTTGCTTAAACTTTATCTGTTTCTAAAACATAAAATAAATCATACAATTACACCAAGAAAAATATATAAACCCATTGTCGCTCAAGAAAAGACAAAAACGTACGGAACAGTATTGAAGGAACGGATAAAATGAACAGTTAATTAATTATATGTACACACAAATAAAGTGAACCAAAACAAAGAACACTCAAGGTCACATCACGTGGTGTGAGTTTACAATAAATTAACCAATAATCGCGACAAAAAGGTCACATCATATTGATTGGCTGTCTATTATACAGTCTATCTGTTGCGATTAACAGAGGCTCTCAAGTCATGCGAGATTCAGGCTGGATTCCCCGACAGCTACCCAACCGATAGCTGCTGCCTTCAAGTAATGGGATCAAGCTTGCATATCCCAATGAATTAACGAGCTACACTGGTTGAAAACAATGTTCCTGCAGATTCTACCATGCCAGAAATTTCGTTTATGAATAGAGGTTAGACTAGAAGCAGTTGCCATCATGGTGTAAGTCATCTGAACGATACTGAGGCTCCGTGGGAGAAGTCGTACTTTAGGGCAAATAGGGGTGTGACAGCGGTAAGGTGTTTTTTCCCTCAGATGACCAACATACCAGCTATGTTGCCTCTCCACTCTGGAAAGAGGAGTTAGGAAAGATCAACTCCGAAAAATGTACGTCCTGACTTATCTTGCGGCGGTCCGTAAGTGGTAGCATAATGTCAGTGCGGACAAAACTCTAAAAACCACTTGTAAGTGGCTGTGTGTGACCAGCATTAAAGCAGTTGTTCCCTGTGCTCTTAGATTAAAAAACATTAATTCTCTTTCTGTTTCAGGTACACTCCAAGAAGAAGCCGACTTCCTTGGTGTGGGCCGTCGGGGAGTAATAATCACTTCCAGTATCATACAAAGCTTTCCTCATCGCTCCTAAAAAAAATACCTGGTCGGTAGTAAGCCGAGAAAAGTTGGAATGTTGAGGGGCATGCGGCTAGCAACCCACTCCATTAGAACACCACCGCTACTGGAAATTCAGAGCTCGAAGGACTACGTTCCACTTGGAATGCAAAAAATATACCTCAGTTACTGTAACAAGAAATTTTTTCGTTTGAGTTAGATATGCTAGCTACAAAAAGAAGAGTCAAAAATTTTCAAGTTTAAACCAACTGGTTCTAATATCAGTGATAAATACTACAAATGTAAAATTATATTCCAGACAGAAAGCTACGAATAGCATTACAGTAGAAAAAAGACAATAAATGTTAGTCAACAAACAAATAAAAACGTAAACTTAATCAGCCTGAAAAATAATAAAGTTCATATGGAAGTGAAACTAAGCCAAGCGACCAATGACAAAAACGTTAATGTGATCGTGTTTTCTGAGCTGGGTGATTTAATTCCGAAACGTCTGTTTTATTAGAGCTGGGTTCTCTATGAATGATACAATTCTCCGGATGAACCTGACTGTAACTGTCTTAAGAGATTTCGCTATCCTTGGGTTGAATTATATAAGTATCTGTCATATCTTTGTATCACTCAGCTCAGAGGAACACAACGGCCTCAAAAAGACCCACTTAAGCTACAAATCTCCACTACATAAGGTTAGTTTATTATACAAAATCTACGTTGAACATGTAACCAGACATTGTGAACATGAGTCATATAACTACTTTGCGGTAGTCTAAACTGAAATAATAATCAAAGAGATAATACATGTAATGCGACATAAAGAAATGAAAGTAACTGAATCAAATATTGGAGAATCTTAAGAGATAATCTAAATAAAGTCAAAAACAAGCAAAGGAATTTTAAAATGAAATTAAGTTATGGATCTATCTGAAACATCAATCTGTAGGAAGTTGCTCAAATCCCCACACTAACTAATTCCTTAGTTAATGATATTAATAACTTCTTACGATCATCTTTACACGCTTTTTGAAACAAGCAATTAGGTACAGCCACTATAGCAAATTTCAAATTTAAGACAAAACGTAGGAATAAGAAAATAAGTCCCACTATATTTTTACTTCAAATGTTTGTTGAATAGTCGGCGAAGTTCAACAATAGCGTCCCAGGAGTGTGAACGCTTAAATGACCCTGAACGCATGATAGTCGTTGGCTAACGGCACCTCTCATTATCAAAGCTGGAATATCAGCACTATTCACCAACTTAGGGGGGAATTTCACCGAGATCACGTTTTTAAATACCGTTTGGACAATGTGTTGATAGCTCGTTAGGGTTAGGATCAGGGTTAGTTTACGGTTAGAAGGGTAGTAATTAGGGTTAGGATTAAGGTTAGGGTTGCGATTATGGATAGATTTGGAGTTGATGACATTTATTTTAATTTGTTTTCTTATCCACACTTTCCTGGTAAGTGGTCGTCGATCCTCTTACTGGAAACCATAGTAATTCAACGAAGGACTTTTGGATAAGAGTGCAGAACAGGATAAGAGAGAAAAGCGATTCACAAAAACAGTTCATCTCTAGTCACTTCGGTCAATACAGAAACTAGCCTAACTTAGCAACTGATACTCCTCATGATAACTGGGACGTATTTGTAAGTCATGCCAGAGAAAGAAAACCTGTTCAACATGTTTTCATACATTTCTTGTACATATACGTCGCTTCGTGTGCAGAAATTCCCCATTTTTATGATTGGTCGGTTGAAGGTTACTCGTACACACGTGTTTGCATCCCTTGGGACGCTATTGTTGGACTTTGCCGTGAAGCTAGTATATAAATTCAGATAAACAATAATAATAAAATTGTTCCATATGATTTTTTCATATGACGCTTCGTATGCTTAAGTCAACAATATGTGTGAAACTTTAAAACCAATAAACTCTACATTTTTAGTGAACTTACATTTGAAAGTAAAAGTATCTAACACCGACACCAAATTAAATGTCTAGTTAACACTGTAAGACAGATTATATGGGTGTTAGAAGCTGACGTTTAGCGGGATAAAGAATGTATACCCAACCTATAACTTCCAGTTATATTCCCGCCTAAAATTTTAGAAACCAATGAAACTGCAACCTTTGTGTTTATCCGAAGGTCATCTTCCATATTTGTAGGGTACATACAGGATCCAAAATATACAAGATTCGTGGTTGTAAGAAAACAGTTTTTGATTTCCAGTGGATCTAGTGTGTGATGTCTGTAGTCCTTTCTTTGATGCAGACTGAATTCTATCAGTCAGGTTGTAATGTGGCCACCAATTTAGGTAGCTCGCTATCACGGTGCACATTGATTTGATGATAGTAGATGGTTGCAGGCGATCGGCAGGAAGCCTCGCCTGACCTAGGTTTCGTACTAGTTGGCACTCACCAGTCAGTCAGGAAGGCAGGCGTATCTGCAACTTTGAAGGAACTCATGTTCCTTCTGAGATTTGAACCCCCGTCACCCAGTGCTGCGGTGAGAGATGTTACCAATGAGCTATTCGGGCTCGCGGTTGACTTCTTGTAGGACTGATCGGACACTAATAATTACTACTACTACTTGCGTAGCTTTAGAGAACTCTGAGGGTAACAGAAATCTAGCAGTAACTTATGTACCCACGAACTTTTCTATTCACTTCTCACCGGAACGAGAAGTTTACTGCAAACAACCAAGTTGAAACTATTTCTGTCGGACAAGGAATGAGAAAAAGTTCAAAAAAGGAATACAGACCAAGTGAAATGGCTGTAGCTTCAATGGCAAGACGTCAATTACGTGCCTGCTCCAACATCCATCTTACCACGTGTGGACTTAGGATGAAAGTCTCTCTGTCACTGACACCAGCAAGATTAAAAGAACACGTAGTTATTTCTCCTCTTCGTGTATTCAGTTTGCTTCAAGGAGCATAGTTTTAAGAATCTGTCTAGTTAATAATGTTAGCCAATGTGTTTTAATCCAAGTTCGACATAAACCATGCCACTGCCCCAGTAAAACTATTCCTTTCTCTCTAGTAGACTGTGACACAGAAAAGGGCTCTTGGGAATTAGGTGGTTTTTCAGTGATCCGTTGCCTTGCTTACAATCCTTGAGGTTAACTTGAGAACTAATCGATGATGTCATTCTCATTCAGCTCTGTTGGAATACGGTACGTTGTGGAAGTCCTTAGAATGACAGTATAAATTTGCAGTTCAATGCTTACTATATTGGTCTTAGCATGGCAGCTATTGTATTTTCAATGAAAACATAGCTTTTTTCAAACATTGGTGTTGTTGTTGTGTTTCTTCTCCCAAAACGCGACCACACCTTAGGCAAGCAATTAATATGAACATAAAGTAAGTTTTAGCTTTGATAAAGGCTTAGGTAGTTGGGATAAAATAGGGTATAAGAGTGCGTAAATAAAAAAGATTACCGTGAGGTAGACAAGTGATATTTCAATGAGGGGTGAATTCAAAGATCTGGAAGATTAGAACCCACAGGACAACCTGACCATGAGGATGTCTCACGAATCTCGGTAGGGCCTATGGAGAAGCATCTTGACAAGAAGCTGAGCAGGCTTGTAGATGGTAGGAGCGAAAGCATTTTTAAAAGTTTGCATCTGTACAATATTATTTTTTTAATTGTTAAGGATCTAGACTCACGTCCAATTCTCGAGCTGTCAAAAATGCATGTTCCTGTCCTACAGATCAGAGCGATTCACATTTGTGACCACCACTATATCTGCGGATCGGCATGTGCCACCCTCAATTCACTGTGTCCATAGATGCGGGTGACTGTGGCATAGGTCTACTACCTGGACAGAGTAGTGGAGTTGTGGAATATGCCAGTTTTGTTTTAACACACACAGAACATAAGTATTCAACGACAGAGAAATAATGTTTAGCAATACTTTAGGCGATAGAGAAATTGAGACCTTATTTACTCGGTCGATGGTTCCATATCGAAACTTGTTATAAGCCGCTACAGTTTCTGTGGTTGGAGAGAGACCCATGTGGGGAATTGCCACGGTATATATTGTACCTGCAGGAGTATGACTTCACAAACTCACACGACCCCGTAAAAGATTTTTCTCAGACTTTTTATCTGGACCGGAAGACAAAGCTGAGGTGCCGGAGACTGTCGACGGGGTGCGGGCATTGGAATAAGAGCCTCTAAGACTTGCCCGCAGTTAGATGTCAGACCTTACCATGAACACAGTCATAGTGATGATCACTGATGGAATAGACGTGAATCAACCTACAGCAAGTAGAGATCAAACATATGCAAACGCGCATGGAACTCTGAATTAGTCAGAGAACTATGGAAGCTGGTTGGCGGCAACAGCTCAGAATCTACGTCATGAGATTATACAAGAATGTCACCAGCTACTATATATGGGAATAGCCAGAACAACCGACCTCTTGAGACAAAACGCACACTGGGCAGGTTTAAGATAAGATGTAGCAAAATATGTACTTGGATGTCCTTAGTGCCAGTTGATGAAAGAAGATCGGTGCATACGACTGCCATTGCAGTCCATTACAGTTACTGCAGTAGGTGACTTGTGATCCGTAGATGTTATGGGTCGGTTTCCGTGGACGTCCAGTGGCAATCGGTACATCTTAGTGACGATGGATAGACGCCGTCGTGGTCCCTGATCAACGCTCGAAAACCGTGACTGACACAGTAGTTCGACACATCGTTGCAGAACATGCTGCACCAAAGACAATATTGACAGATCAGGGCCCTTGTTTCGAAAGTGCAGAATTTACTTCCCGTTTGCAACAGATGGGTATCAAGAAGATCACAGCAACACCATACTATCCTTAAACGAATGGTATGACAGAGAGAGAAATAACCGTACACTGAAGGAGTGTGTGGCCGAGAAGAGAGGTAACCGGGAGACAGAGCTTCTATTGATTCTACTTACACACCGTGCGTCCACCCACGAGACAACAAAGAAATCACCATTTCAGATAATGTATGAGAGGAAACACCGAATCTTAATACACAGCACAACCTGGCGCCTTCACCAGCAGTGGAATATGACAAGACTGCAAACGGAACAGAAAGAAGCCGTCAGGAATGTGAATCGTAAACAGAAGAAAGACGCCATGAAATCAGAAGGGGGAGAAAAAATGGGACACATAGCATTGGGTCAGATAACAAGTTAAATGTGGAGAAAGAAAGTATGCGGTTAGATGCAAGCTAGGTTCAAGAAAACTCTTTCCCAAATGGGGAGGGCCGTATATTGTCAGCGAGAGACGTGGTTTCGTTTATACTATCAAAAAAAGAAAATCGGCAGAAACGGGTCAACATCAGCCAACTGCAGAAATAATATATTTTTTCTTATCTATGTTGGACGCACCAGTTGTACAGGCATGGATAAGTATTATTTAAGCCACGAAAATTTGGTTCATTGTGAAATTAAATGGTTGCTGTCTTTCTTTCTTTAGCTTGTAGATTGTGGTTAGCTGTTGATGAAAGTATGCAATGACCTTTTGGAAAACCGTTTCTTGACGCACTGGCCAAGTTTCTGACCTGTTTAGAAGAACTGCCCGACTGCCTTCACATCTGTGTTGAAAATCCGAATCCGATTGTTTATGTTGGCTGAGTGCAGGAGACCTGTCTTCTCTGCTGGTTTATTGGCTTTCGCCTGTAAGACGTCGAGGTTGTATGACATGAAACATTAGTTATCCACACGTGAAATCCAGATCTTTGCTCCCTGTTGAGCTAAATTTCGGGCATTTTCACGAGGATGCCCATATGTCCTTAATGGTAGGACACCTTTGTCTGGATGACTCTGATCATTTCTTATCTCATAGGCAGTAATTAAGTCCCCCTAAGGTGACGGTAGCAAAATGTAAAGAGATCTGATTTCTCTAGCCGTTCATCACATGTTTTGTTTTGGATACCCGTCACCCATTTTGCCCCCCATCTTTGGACTCTTTCCGAAAGGTTCGAGTCTCTTCTAAACAGCGGGAGTTAGGTGACACCGTGCACTTTGAGGTGTGGTCTGACGTGTGTTTTGTTCAACCTTAGAAAGCGCTCGGGAGTGAGTGCACTTAACTGTATTGTGTAAAATGTATGACCGCATATGCCCTCGCTACATCCCCTGTGTAATTCATGATTGTGTCTATTTTTTCCGTTAGAACTAGACCTAAGTCAGGCTCCGATGTTGTGTAGGACAAGCTTTCCTTGCACAGGGTGTAACTTGCATTCTGCAGCCTAAATATGCGTGATTGTACTACTTTACACTTTTTCGGATTGAAAGTCATACCACTGGCCACCGGAAGTATTAGGTCTGTCCGTAGCCTATTTGAGTCTTTCGAGCACCTTATTGTTCTCCAAATCTTTACGTCTTCAGAACAAGCAAGAGTCGGGCAGCTTAGACGGTATGTTAGATCATTAGTACGAATCAAAAACATCAGTGGCCTTAGGATAAAGCAATACTCCTGATCACGAGCTGTGCCAGGATGATTGGATACGATTGACCTTAATGCAGAATTTACTTTCGGCTAGGTAGTCTTCAAGCCATGAAAGAATTGGCCCAGCTATGCTTGTCTGACTTAATTTATGTAGGAGGAGATCATGGTGAACTGAGTCAAATGTCTTCTCAAAGTCTAGGTAGATCACATGAACTGGAACATTCACATCCCGGTAAAATGTTCAATCGTCCTGAACTGACAGTAGGTTTGTTACACAGGATCTGCCTTTCCTGAAACCATGTTGGGCTTCATGGAGTCAATTAGTCTTATCAAGATGATGTTCGTTGTGATCATCAACTATACTTTCGGCACCACTGAGAGTAACGCTACTGGTCTATATCTGGTGGCAATTTGCCTGTTTCCACCCTTGAAAAAGGGAGAAAGGATGGCTCTTTTCCATTCTCTCGACAGTTTCGCTGAATACGTTGAGTGTTGGAACAGGTCTCATAAAGGCCTAAAGAGAGCTTCCGCGAACTGTTTCAGGACATATAGCCTGATGTCGTCACAACCTGAAGACTTTGTAACTTCTCCAGTATCACTGCCGGTTTTATTTGGATAGTAGGTGACATGTTGGAGATTGTGTGTGGGAGAAATCAGAGTTAATGTGCAATTGCGAAGCCAGATAGAGAGGATTATGGAGAATTGTGTGAAATGGGGAATGTTGTAGAAACAATATACCCCTTCCGGACCTAAAGGAATGCTAAAAATGATCGATAATCAGAAGTTCATTTCCATTGCATGTCCTCATTCAGGATACCACAGATTTCCTGAAGGTTGGGCAGACCGCGCGCATCAAATCACAAATTCCGGATGTGACAGGCGGGCGAACATCGTGACTGCACTACAAGTGATCTACGTTGGCTTGTTTAATTCTGGCTTCCACTATATGATTAGGGGTTTCACCCAACAGTACTCACCTGCTTAGTTGTAAGAATAGGTCAGACATTTATAACAGTTTATCTGCAAGGTTCATAGCCGGTGAAGGATGTTATCCATTTAGAAACTACTTCAGCATTAAGTGTTGCGGAGAACATACCATACTTAGGAACAATAATCAGGAGCTGACTAAATTTAACTAGGTTAGTTTGTTGTTTATTGCAGGATAAGTAAATGTCGCTCATATACTTAAGTTAGAAAAGTATTTCTCCAGGCTGCAGATCATCACCAACAACATATCCTTTGGAGATATATTCGAAATGTAATCGATGGCAAAGTTAAGGAGAACCGGTGGGAGTAGGTAAACTTTTCTAACTTTTCCGTCAGCTGGTACTAGTAATAATAGCGGGTTGTATGCTCTTACTCTGCTTGATTTGCATTTATGTAGGGATTTCAGGATGTGAATGAACGTCTCAGAAACACCTCTATACAACGTGAAATTTCAAACGACACCACAAGCCAAGGAATAAAATACAGACAATTTAGACGAAAAAAACACGTAGGGTATATTCGAGACATAAATACAGCCCACCATACCCTTCACAAGTGAATTTCTGTCGTGCTTCGAAAAGCCTGTGGAGCATAAAAGCAGCCAGTATCTTGGATGTAGCTAGTGGCACAAGAAACGCCCTGACAGTTATCACGCGTCATATTTAAAAATGGACACAATGCTACTTTCATTCAGTATTGATGGACACATATAACCTCATGCTTTCGTACACAAACCAGATGGTTAACTGACTGAAGTATAACCACAATCGCCAAGAATTTTGTTGTACATGCGCTGAAGTACTTGAATTTCCTTTCGCTTATTAGGTGGGTCACTATTCACATACCAGGAATAAAATGTGGACCAAAATATTTAATGCTACAGTTCTAGGTTGGCTAAACTACTTTTTAGAATGCCATGTACAGCATTCCAGACACCTTTCAAAGTTAGGTCGACACACCAAATGCCTCACTGGTCCCATGTTGATTGCTGCCTGTGGATCAGATGAATTAAAACAGTTCCTAAATTTTGCAAAGTGTGCACCAGGCTCTCAACACAGAGCTGTCTTACTTCACTTGCCTAAACAATTACATCCGATAACTACCAGAGGGAGTGGATCAAGCAGATTCAAAAGTCATACAGCAGTTAACTTGAATTATGATCTGGTGTGCTTCATCTACTTGTACATTACTCCAAAAGAGCATTGTGAAACCCATAGGATACGACGAAGAGCTGAAAGAGTTACACTCTTCTGTGTACTTATTTCGGATGGATTATGAATGAGCCTTAGTTTTAAAAAACAACACTTTGTTAGCAAGTAGGTACGTGATAATTCACATATCGAGACTACTATTGTGACACAAAGAGTACGCACCAGCAAGTTGTGTATTTACATGGAACACTGCACTCATTATTGGCTAAGAAGTAGGGAAACTATTCCATTCACTATAATGCTTCACTGAGAGTGCATATCCTGACAACATATATATAAGAATCCAGTGAGTGCTACAAACGAAGCAAAATAACACGCAGTATTTGTCAAATTATTTTGAGAAAATAAAATGTAGGATGTAAATGAAGATGGAACATGTATATGTATATAAATATCGTTTGTAATACCTTCAAATAAACTCTAAATGTATATTTATTTCATATTATTGTTTAAATGAAAGGAAATATTTGAGAGAAGGTTAACTAAAATAAAAGTAATGAAGCAAAAAAAATAAAGGAGCACAAGGTAATATGTATATATATAAATATCGCAGTTGTTTAAATCGTCTAGTTCTCAAGGTCAATTTTAAGCATTATCCACGTTAGTATTGGACGATCCAATGTTAATTTCAGGTAAGGTATTGTTTGAAATTTGTGCAATACTCGAAGTTAAAAGACCCTATATAATCAAGGAATGAAAATAAAACGACAAACATAGATGAATAAAGTGCTAACATAAAACTTATATACAATTGGCAATAAAAAAATCTGTAGGTATGTTTGTCTAATAAATTTTATCATTATTAAAATGACAAGAAAAACTATTCGCACAATAAACGTTCACAAGTTAAACTGTTCCTCCTTATAGCTTAGACGTTATGCTGAGAACGAAAAAAAGGCTTGATGATTTAACTTCGTAGTGAGTGATCAGCAATGGAGTCAAAGACGCGCGTTACGCTCTATGTTTGCGACACCTCGGTTGGATTTAACTACAGCGTGGTGTGTGTGTTAGTTTCTCGACCAAAACTGGAACCTGGTACTCATAATCTCAAAAGTTCAATATGTAAAGAGAAACCTCGGTACAGGTAAATATGGTAAAACTTTCATAAGAAGAGCATCGTCTAAGGTAAGGTAGTTTGGTCCATTCAAGTGGTATAGTTTATCAACGCTGAATTATGCATATACTCCAAACAGCATAAAGACTGACTGAATTTTCAGAGTAAAAATTTGCATAGAAGTGCAGCAGTTGAAGTTGCTACACACCATGTATCTCTTTATGTTAGAAGTCAGGGTCGACTGGATGATTATCTGCACAGACCTGTGGGAGACGATCACTTTTACTGATTCTTCAGCATAGGACGCCATAGAAGCCGTAAGTATGCTTATCTTGATGGTATATCTCCCCTATTTAGGCACTGGAAAACAGGTTAAAATAGTTACCTGAGCGCTTTGCCATCAGCAGCAAACTGGACAGCTTTCGACAGAACATATCCTTGCACTTATCAGTGATACGGTACGGCAGGTCAGCTTCCTGATATACCCCATGTGGTCACGCATTCATAGCCTCTGCTAGTTGATTCCCAACTCAGTGTATCATGTGGCTGGGGTGTTACCAAGGAGGTTAACCCGGCAGTTTACCCAGAGGAGTTGGAAAACCCTGATTCCAAATCTATGGCGCACAAAGGATCCAGCATCCAAAGAATAGGATGGCGCATGAACGTGTTTCAGTCGCCATGAGAAAGCAGTTGCTGATTCTGTTCTGTTGCATCGGGGATCAGACTTCACAACCGGTGGCTCGGGGATTGTAGCGCTAAGAATACCACCACCTGCTTCGGTTCGAGCAGACCTCTCAAGAAGAAATATGTCGCGAATATCTTGGTGCCCAAATTGCACCAACTTTGTGAATTGTTAATAATAACAACACACCTACTTCGTACAAAATGTGGTCGGTTAGCGTTTGGGTGCATATCCACAAGGGACGACATCAGCAGGTATTGCAATCTTTTCTTCCAATTGATCAAGTCAACCGGACAGCACACATACGACTATCTACTGGGATCCAGTGAAGTAGGGATTTTTCGCCCTAGCATTGACTGCTATTCATATATCGTCAATTCCTTGCGAACTAGCCGAGGGAATAGTATTTTCGGGGTCAATCTTATCTAGAACCCCACCTCCCCTCCACAGAGAGGAAAGACAATATAGCTGGCTTATTATCCATCCGAGGGAAACAACCTTACTAGTGTTAAACTTCCCACCCCCTCCCCATCAGAACCCCAACATAGTGTAAAAAACTTAAACAATAAGGGTACATAGTATACATTGATCAGTAATTAGAAGAAAAAAAGCAGATAAAATAAAAAGACAAAGTGTTCTTACACGTTCCAAATGATCTTTTTCATCTTGTAGTTTATCCAGTCGATTAAACTCAGCTGCTAAAAGACACTCAATTATCTAGAAATCAAGACAGACAAGCAAGAGAAAACGAAACAAAATAAATTATTTAAACTTACGTTAGATTGATAAACAAAAGATAAACATATGCGCCACCATAACTTTATTAATCATTCAATGACAATTGATTGTTGGTTCTACTGTAAATGCATGGATGATACATTTTTGATTATAAAAAATGGGGATGAAGCAAAGAACATCTGTGGACAAATTTAACGATGTGCATCCTGCAATAAATTTTACTATCGACAAAGAAAGAGACTTTAGTATTTCATTTCTAGACGTCCTTATGACTAGAAAAGAGGAAGGTACAATAAGAAGTGTAATTAGAGAACCTACATCAACTGGTCAGTATGCTCATTTTTTCAGCTTCGTGCCTTCGAAATAAAAACGCAGTCTAATAAAGTGCTTGGTCCACAGAGCACGAGCAATCTGTTCTGATAAACGTCTTAATGAAGAGCTTAATATCATTAAACAGTTGCTGAGTGAGAATAGTTACCCAAAAAATTCATCGGTAAGAATATAAATCAAAAGTCAAGGCAGGCCAAAGTACCAACAGTTCCGAAAGAGGCCTAATTCTTACAAATTCAGTTCCTCGAGGACAACATCAGTGAGATATTAACACAACGCCTAAGGGAATTCAATGCTGCTGAATTATACTGCGTCTTCAAAACCACCCCTATTATGCGTTTGGGAGTTAGAAATAGACTGCATAATTTCCCCTCTTCTATGTGTATCTACCTATTTGACTGCTCCTATGTAACCAGTTACACAGGCCGCACACTTAGGCGTATTTATCGCCGAATCTCCTAACATCGTCCTGCATAATTAAGTAAAGGACAAACAAAATCCATTCATAGCTCTATTCTATCTCATCTTGTGGATACAGAACACAAGACTGATGTTAACGAGGCTTTCAAAGTCATCTACCGCATACCAATTAATCTTAACTTCACCTTAAGAGTTCGTCTACTACCTATTGCTGAGGCTGGCTGTTGGGATCTACATTAAGAAACCTAACTTATGTATCTAAAAGAAGTTGGTTCAGGCACTGTCCTTACCTTGGCCATCAACGTTTTAATGCTCTTCAATTTGCTGTGGAAATTTCCTTAATTTTATTTGTTATTCTATTTACTATTACATTTTTATGCTTATTATATTTTATGCATCTTTTTTCGAACTGTGGTAATTCCATCAATCATACTTCAGTGGTAACGTCTCTGACTGCAGGCAGCACTGGGTGACGAGGGTTCGAATCTCAGAAGGGAAATGAGTTCCTCCAAGATTGCAGAAATGCCTTGCTGACTAGTGAGTGCCAACTAGCACGAAACCTAGGTCAAGCAAGGCTTCCTGCCGACTGCCTCCAACCATCTAACAGCAATACTGTTAATGACGACTACTCAAGAATATTATATATAATTGTAGAGCTAGAAGAGGATATAATCGAAAAGGATATTCTTTGCTCAATTTTTTTCAAAATATCTGAATGAATATATTCGCTATAAAGAAATTGAGTAATGAAATAATGAGGGATTCATTAAATGCACCCTTTTAATTGATTCTCAATTATATCCTTTGATGGAGGCCAAGATAAATAGCAGTTACAGCTGATGATAGACAAAAGAAAAGCCTTTAATAATTGGTGCACTTTCTCAGACATATTGGTCAATCAAAATCGATACTAGTTCAACAGCAGAATAAAGATAATAACGATTAATATGACTAGTGGAGAAAAGAACTCACTAGATAGACGAATTGAGAGAGGAGCTAACTACGCACACACACACACACAGGATGGGTGTTTCGTTTATTTATAAAACCGAGTTGATCATTACCAGGATATACCCTTTAACAGATGATGGATTCATTACACAACTCGATAAAAGTGGGGAGTTAGCTTAAACCATATCATTTATTAGAAGGAAAATAATTCAGGATGTACACGTGTGTGCTAAAAGTCATTTGATGCGGAACAGGCTATATAAATTAGGTGTGTCGATTGGTCAATGGCAGATTGCTCGCTGACTCCCTTCCCTTGGGATGCCCCGGAATCAGTTCACCGTTGACGACGCAATCCTTAACTTCATGGGGGGAGGGGAGAGCAGAAAAGAGGACAGAGTGAGCCTAAGACTAACAAACCCACTGAGTAAAAACGACAACGTCGCTACTGAAAGTAACTGAAACGCGAAACAGGGTGAAAGAAAAAGCCATTATATATATATTGAAAACTTACTGACTGATTAACTTCTGATTCAAATGTAAATCCAATACATCCATTATTATTTGAGAATTTTACAATATCATTCAATGGTCCTTGAACAACTAAACATCCAAGTCTAAAATATACACAAATAAATAAGTAAATAAAAGGTACATCAACAACAACAACAACAAAAAAGAAGAAGAAATACAACCAGAAGAAATTCACGGAGAAAAATGGAAGTGAACAGATATCTAAGAGAATATAGTGATGTGATGTACTTCACAGGTGCGTCGGTGGCACAGCGGTAGAATGCTCGCCAACCATTCTCATGGCCCCGGGTTCGATCCCCGGCCGACAAGCACTCCTTTACCTCGCTAAACCAGTAATAAAACTGGTAAGGAGGAAAGGTTGGGCATGAGGTGCTAGCAACCCCATCCTGTAAAAATAAGCAGCACTGCTACAGAAACTTCAAGCCTCTAGCTTGAAGCCCTATGTTCCACTGGGAACGTCGGTCGGTCGGTCGGTTTTCGACATAGAACTTTGCAAATGTGTGCGGAAGTTCAAGTCGCCACACTCCATGAAGCACACAAAGCAAGACAAGGAAGTAGAAGAAATGCATAATATAGACAGTAAACAGAGGAGTGAGACAAAGGAATAGTAATAACGGAGAACAAAAGTTTAATTGGAAATCATAAGTCACAAGGAGTGGATGCATCTGCGCCAGCCATTGAGAACGATTTTGAGCCATGTCACCGATTGTTTCCAACCACTGGTTTTTACCGTCCCGAGGATCCCAACCAGGAAGCCAGTCTACACCTTCCTACGTGGCTTAAACTAACTGTTGTAGATTTCATTGACTGGTGACATGTTTTCGTTTGACCGCCACTAGCTCTTTTCCAGCCTGACCCCATATCAGCTAACATTGCCCGTCGAGGAAGGCGATGACTAGGCATACGTAAAGGAGGATGTACTTCACAGGGATAACCAGGCACTTTTTACCTAAGACGATTATCATAGGAGAGACCGTGCAGACAGTCCGGACTCGATTCCTCGCCGACAAACTCCTAAACCACACTTAGCCCGTAGTAATCTCAGTATACAGGGAAGGTTATTCGTAAGGTTTATTTAACCCCACCTCGTAGGAATTAAACCACTGTTACTGAAACTTCAAAGCTCCAGTTTGAAGCCCTATGTTCCACTCGGTAAGCAGGATGGAAAACAATTTAGTGTTCAGAAATGCATTTATAAAATCGCCAACAAAGATACTAGAGAACATTTATCAAGATGTTTACAAACACAAGTGATAGATATCTTGAAGTAATTTGATGGATGGTGACTAGCAGTGGAATCCAGGCTGCACATTTCGCCGTGTTTTAGGACACATCGGCTGGATATATAGGCAATCCCACACTATCACTTATTGCAGATACATTCAGCTGTCAAGCCCTTGATAGAACACGAAGCGCGCATCATGGATCCCACCAATAGCCACCAACCATCCAGTCATCAAGTTACTTTATGTTAATCTTCAAAAATCGTCAAAGCAGCCATACTAGGGAGACGATATATCAACACAAGTCGAACATTTCGGTCCAATCAGTCAACGGGAAAATCAAATAACAAGTAATATACCTCTGTGTGGTAAATGAAGACAGAAGGAATTAAGTATTATACCATAGACAACCAATATCAGTGGTGAGTTTTAAAATGTTTTAACCGGATTAAACTACCGTTTAAATATTATACGAAGTACAAGTAAGGCTATTGTTAAGACATATGACATTTACAAAAAACTTTTTCTGAAATCATCGACAAACAATGAACCTAGTCTAGAATTTTACATTACTCAATTTATCTGTAAGTTACGTAATAAGTAAGACTATAACATATTACGCAGGATGTTAAAGGTTGTCAGCAGGGTAAGCAATGTGCCACTTGACCAGCTTGTTAATATTCTGGTCGACAGGCACATGGACTCATGTGAAAAATGGGCCAAGTCCATTTGATCTAACTCACACCACCCCCTTCACTCACAACTCTCCCCTTGCATCTCATCAGGCAAAACCAGAAGCCTATATAGAAAACTATATGCTCGCATGAGCAAGTACAAAGTCTCAATCATACCCCACTTAGCTCGTGTTCTGTGCGATAAAGAAAGCATTAGGCGTGACACCTATAATTCATTAAATAGTCAGTAGAACAACTGGATCTCGTCTTTCCAACTCATATCATTTATAGGTACAACGTTTTCTTTCTTTCTTTTCCTTTTCTCTCTCTCTCTCTTTTCCGTTATGTGCTGCTTTGTTTCTTTCTTCTGCATACGCTATTAAATATGATAGCACCTACTTTTCTAACGCCTTCAAACACTGTTCAATTTTGGCTTTTCTACCGACATGCCAATATATTGCTGTAATAATGAAGTGAGATTTCCTTAATCTATGTAGAATTCTATTTATTGATAATGTACTGACTGGATGCAATACTGTAGTAAAAAATGCTGAGAATTCCATTCTGTATCACATGTACTGTTTTGGAATAAAGCAAATTACTATTATTAAAGTTACGTAATATGGTGAAATATACCAAAACTATTCCATTTAGTTGCACACTTAACATTATTATTAGTATTATTCCCTGGGGTTCCGAATGGAACGTACAACTTCAGCAGTATATCTCCATTTCACCCTGTTCACTGCAGTTCTTTTTAGTTGACTTCACGATTGTCTATAAGCTTTCATCCCCCCGCCCTCCTTCTCCTCAGACAACCTCTTCCATGTCACCCCATGGGACACCTGAGTTTATTTTTTATTTTAATTTTATTTTGATTACAGCTTGATGCCATACCGTATTTTCAGTACAAGTATGGCATTTTCAGCATGGATATCGGTAGCCCAAATTTTGCAGTCCAACCATAGATATCGGGTGTGCGTCGGCAGGGGAGCGAACCTCGGACCATGTGCATGGTCGGCGAGAGTCCTAACCACAGTTAGAACTCAGTTCCCCTAAATACCAGGCTATGTGTGAACCACACTTATTTTGTAACGATTGCTGACACTATACCCACTTACTCAGACCCACCCATAGGATGCAGGTTGAGTGTGTTTAAACCAGAAAAATGGAAATATCAAATTGAAAAATTTTTTGAAAAAAAAGAAACTCACTTTTGGTTATCCGGATGATTATTCCACGATCTTATAGCACGAAAAGGTATACGAAGTAGAACATCCCATTTTTTATCTTCTCCTTTTCTCCTTCTTTTATAGACTCAGCATTATTAACATCAACATTATTTATGTCTTGATTAGATAAAACCCATAGATCACTTGTAGTAATTGTAATTTTACAAGGAATAGGCAAAGGTGAATCAGACGCTGAACGACATGATAGCACATAAGTGAAAATATCATTGAATTGATTCGTTGGAACTAAAATAATAAAAAAAAAACAATAAAGAATCAGCATTAGTAATGGGAAGAGATGAATTGGGAAACACAACATATTGCTTAGCAGTATTCCAATCTAATGAATAACAACGCGAATACTACCGAAAAATGCTGATCCTGAATTGTGAGTGTTCTCACTTGGCACCATCAATCACTTTAGCTAGTGCTTCTCTCAGTGTTAAACAACTATTCAACTAATATTGTTTGTCATGAAAACTATTTTGCAATTTTATCAATTTACATCATCTTAATGAATACGCCAATCAATACACCCTATGACTGACTGACTGCCTACTTTCCATATGGATTTCCAAGGGCTAATGAGCTGTTTGTTAGAACGTGAAATAGACTCTTCATGTGTGACAGAATGTCAGCCACATTTATTGTATGTGGGCTGTGATATGACGATATTGTCCACCTGCCTAGGCAGAATTAGGTGGAGTGGGATTCGGGCCTTGGATCTATTCTAATATGGTGGTTGATGTCCACTCTGGAAATAGGTGGTATGTACCATTTAGTTCTGGTGGACGCCTATTCAAAGTGTCCGAAGGTAGTGCCAGTTACCCCACTACCTTCCAACAGCCGAAGAGTAGCAGCCCTAGGAAAAATCTTCGCATACCATGGTGTACCAGAATGTATTGTACCTGACAACGACAGTCCATTCGCCTCGTAAGTGTTTCAGGAATTCTGTAAGAGAAATAGTATACAACACGTGAGGAAGCCACTTTACCAATCTCAATCCAGCGGCCAGGCAGAAAGATTTGTGGATAGCTTTAAAAGAGCTTTACTGAAAGCGAAGGGAGGGGAGGGGCTAATCCGTAAACCATAGAGAACTTCATTTTTTTGTATATCACACCACAACATTGGAAAAACAGAAAAGCCCTGTTGGACTTTTGTTGGGACGAATGATACCAGCGCACTACTGTGATGAGAGCTGTCTATTGGCCAAATTGGTAGACAGTAATTTACGCCAATGTTTACGTTCTCAAGATTTGTCGTGAGAAAATATGAACAAAGACTGATTCAAAACCGACCACAGCAAACTTTGCGTAGGCGGATACAGTTAACATATAGATGATCTGACATTCAAGAAACAGTCACAAAGAGACGAAAGATTAACTTTAAGTGAGAAACTACCAATCAGAAGACTGTGTTTGTTTGCTTAACTAATCTATAATAATGTACATGAAAATATATAAATATGCTTTGATTTCCTTAATAAACGATCTGTTGCCTGACCCTTGTCTTCTGTTGTTACACCACTACTGCATGTCGCCATCACCACCGCATCAACAACAAAAATAGTGTGGGGTATTTCTACAAGGGACACTCCGTCTATGTGCGCGACTATCAACTGGAGAAGAGAAAACAGGCCAAACGTCTGACAGAATTTCAGCATGGGACTCTTATGCACTAGGTTTAATTTGGACATGAAAGGTGGATTAGACACAAAAGCCAGATACAACATCGATATACCACGTCCCCAAAGCTAAAGCCACCACCACTGGATCTACTACTTGAAAACTTCCAACTACCACAAGTCGATCTAGAACCAGCCCAAAGGAATCCAGAATTCAAAAGGGTAAATTCACGCAGCCGTTGCTCCGATAGCAAAAGATGACTGACAGTACGCTTCCAAATCGATCCAACCGATCCAACCGGAATGTTCGGCCTCTGCTGACATGTCGGCTCCCAGTACGGACGCTTCGACAGTGGCCTGAGGCTTAACTTGAAGCAATTTGGTGCGAAATTTCGCCCTATTTGGGAATCACCAGCTAGACGTACCTGCATTCCAGTCTCAATGGGAACACAACCACTCACTGGGAATGCAAGCACATCCAACTGACGAGTCCCAGATGGGACGAAATGCGCATCCTGGATCCCACCGCTAGTCACCATCCATCTACTAGATTGAAATGTAACAAACTAGAACATGATGCAGAAAGCAAAATATACAAAATGGTCAACTTACAATGATCCATAGGCAAGTCGACAGCACCCAAAAATTCACACGGAAACATATTAAACAGCTTAAGCTTATGAGTTAATTCATTTGAAGTTGTATTGTGAACATTTGCTTGATTTATTACATTAGTAGTGTTATGATCACCACTAGTATTCGCTTCAACGCTTTGACTGTTTGCATCATCGTTAGTAGCTATCGTTGCATTATCCGCATTATTATCTATTGTCTGTGTTGATTGTAATATCTGTTCCTCTGACTTGTCTTTATCAATTGTGCACAATAATTCATTAGTTAATACATTGGTCAATTCATCATTTATTGGATTTAAATCAAAATGGATTTGAGGTAGATAATTAGAAAACCAATCAATATAGGTAAGATCATGTTCAACAGGATTTAAGGAATCCATAACATCAATGTTAACGTCACCAACACCGCCTCCACGATTATCATCACCAATCGAGATAATGTCAACCTTGTAGTGATAAAATCAAAAAAATACACATGTGCTCAAGTGTTGGTGGTATTCACAGTTTTGATCGGTTAAAGGTTTGATCACGAGCTAAAATATCAGTTGAAGAACCACTGCAAAACCAGGGACTACTGGTCAGTTGTTCCTCCGCGTACCCCCCCTCCACCAGGGTTCAAACTCAACACCTTCTGGTTACACGACGTGCACATAGACCATTCAGTCACTGGGACTCAATCCAACAATCCATGAATTCCAATTTACGATGAATAGTGCGATCAACAACAAATGTCATCGACAAATAACTATCCTCTTACCTGACTCGGTTGGCCTCGACAGTTCACGACTTTTCTCACTAGAACTCCAGGTAACTTTCGGCATACAACCAGTCGCTAGTGAGTATCATATTAATTATCAAGTGTAAGTTTGCAGGGATTTGATTAATAACAGGTCCTAAGATCGAACCCAGGAGGGTGTGTACTGATGAAGAGTCCCAAACTAAGACGAAACAGTCCCCGTGAACTACCTCGTTTTCCAATGGTTCTCTGACTGATTTTAGTTTGTGATTCAATGCATGTGTTCATTAGACAATAAACATTGGTAAAATAACCAACGCAACTATAACGTAGATTTCAAGACTCAAGGATAGAATAAGTCTTCATGCCCAATAATGAATGCAATGACTGTTTTATATTAGCCAAGCGTTTTACGAACTCTGATCGTCATTATTCACTCAGTAATGCTGTTATTTATACCCGTGTCTTACTTATTTCAGTCTTACATTGACAAGAGACTGTTTGACACAGAAGCAATCCACGTTATCCTGGTAGATATGTGTGGCTAACGCGTTAGTGTGTCATATATTCATGTGTAAAGGAACTCAGTTAAGAAATAGCATACTTACTCTGTAGGAATGTTTTCTTACTAAGTTGTAATTATCACTGTGCGTCGGTGGCACAGCGGTTAGGACTCTCGCCGACCATGCACATGGTCCGGGGTTCGACCCTCTGCCGACGCACACCTGATATCTATGGTCAGCCTGCAAAATTTGGGCTACCGATATCACATGCTGAAAATTCCACACCTGTGCCAAAAAATACGGTGTGGAATCAAGCTGTAATCAAAAATAAAAAAAATTGAGACGATTTCGTAAATAATCCCCATCCAGACGCTAACGATAATAAAGCACGTAGTTCAGCGAATAGGCTCTTTTCAACTGTACAATCGTATTTATATACAAATTTTTCATGAAAGAGCGTAAGTAAGACAAGTCGTGGAGTTGTCACAATTATAGTTGTTAATTTTAGTCAGTGTGCATAAGAGTAGTTGAATAAGGGTATTAGCGTTATGTAATAAAAGGTGTATAATTTAATGAGTCAGCTGCAATCAGGATGTACGTAGGAATGAAGAGAAGAATTTCATCATCTTCAAGAAGAACATTCATCACAGCAACGCTAAGAAAAGTTTTCATCAGTCGTCCGTTGGTTGAAAAAGGCGATTGGAGATAGCCAAAGAAAATGAATTTCCTGAAAAGAGTGTCTCCACTGACCTACTTGTTTCGCTTTCGTTAACGATTTCATAACTTAAGTAAGAGAAAATTATCCATCGCAGATACGTAATACTTTTTAACTTTCTCTGATTGCTCTTTCATCTCTGTGTACTCCGAGCGAAACACAGGACTTTAGGCCCTAAAGATTCAGCAGCGATGGTGTAGTTTTTACGGAGTGATGTCTGAACATACACACACACACACAACTCCAACCCTCCCTCTTTTCCAGGCTGGCTTACTACCTACCGGCTAGTAAGCTGGAGGAGTTTAGCATTGCGTCGGCTTGGAATCGAACGCCAAACTTCCCGCATTGCTGATAAGCACTCTACCAGTGAACTAGCAACTTGGTGTTTTATTAAACTTACCGCTATACTTTTCTATTCGTTTAGAAATATAATTAACCAAGTAATTTACATCTCAGGTTGTTGTACCTGTTACAGGATTTTCATCATGAGCTGACATTAGTTAGAGAACCATTGGAAAACCTGGGAGTACTGGACAGCCGTTTCGTCCTAGTTTGGGACTCTTCATCAGTACGCACCCACCGGGGTTCGAACCCAGGACCTTCTAGTTACAAGGCTAGCGAGCTCGTATACCATTCAGCCACTGGGACCCGATTCAATGGCCCACGAATTCTAACTTCTGCCAATTCACGACATAGCGCGACCCCTAGCCAATGTCTTCGGCGAGTATTTGTCCTCACACCCGACCTGCTGAACCCTACTGGTCACGACTTCTCACTAGAACCCCAGGTAACTACCTACCTGAATAGGGCAAGTCGCTAGTGAGCATCTCATTGATATTCAAGTGTTGGTTTGTAGGGAGTTGATTGTTGTACCTGTTACTCATGACTTCTCTCTAGAAGTCGACGACAACTTTGTCTTATAGTCAGTCACTAGTGAACAATAATGGATTGATCTTCAAGTTGTAATTAGTCGAATCCATCAAGTTGAATGTGAGAAACAATACATCGGCTGGTGGTGAAGCTGTAAATCACCAATTGAAAGAAGTTAGAATTCACAGGCTATTGGATTCCGTCTCAGTGGGTAATTGGTAGGCGGATCCACCTCGTAAACTGAAATCCCTGAGTTCGATTCCTTATTGGGGTCATGGAGACGTGCTGATAAAGAGTTCCGAACTGGGACGAAACAGCTCCGCAGAACTACCTGGTTTTTAATGGTCCCCTAACTGACTTCAATCCGTGGTCTAACTTACAACAAATATTTGACAGAAATTACTATTCTGAAACAATATTATTTGAATTTGATAGGAAGCAACTGGAATTGTAAATTTTTTAAAAACCTAGGTCAGTGGTTGCAGCGTTCGAAGTTTTGGATTTCAAACTTAGTTTCAAGCCGTTACATTATGTACACACATGATGCGCCTTTGCTAAAGTAAGTCGTCTTTTAATATTTTCATGGCTTAGAGAAGCCAAAAGTATTGAGGCGCGTTCATTTGAAACATCTAGTTGCGCGTTAATTGTCTCACCTATATCAGACATACCTCAGTAAAAAATTTCATCTGCACTTGTCTTCAAATGTACACATGCTTGAGTCACTGATTGAATAAACAAATAATCTAGGACACACAGAGGTAACCAGCCAGCGAAACACATATTAGATTACAAAAACTGAATGAGACAATGGTCTTCACAGCTTCATATTCTCTCATGAGACTATATAGACATACACTTCTAACGATTACCATTAAAAGATAAGACGCTTATATGCATTGCTCAACACTATGATTTATTTGACTCTAGCTTCAGCTATGAAGTTTCCAGTAGCATGAGTGGTGTTTTTACGGAGTGAGATTGTTAGCCACACAAACACACACACACACAGTCAACCTTCCCTCCTTACTAGGATTTGCTATCAGCTAGACGAGGTTGCGTGTAAGGAGCGCCAGTGCCAATCACCATCAACGGGAGGGATTTGAAAGAGGTTACTTCATTCACTTATCTAGGGAGCATTGTCTCAACTACAGGCAGGTGGAACGGACGAGGATGTCAAATCGAGAATCGGGAAGGCGAGAAACACATTCATCAACCTGAAACCAATCTGGAAATCTTCGTCACTCAGCAACACTCAACAACAAAATTCGGATTTTCAATACAAACGTCAAGTCAGTTCTTCTATACGGATCACTTGGAACTTGGCGGGTCACAAAGAATATTTCCAACAGCCTGTTGCAGACCTTTATCAACAACTGTCTTCGTCCTATACTCAAGATCAGATGGTCGGAAAGAATCACCAACAAGAAACTATAGGAACAAACAAAACAAGAACCAATCGCTCAACAAATATGCAGGAGAAAGTGGAGATGGATTGGACACTCGCTGAGGAGGCCGCTGGGTGACATCGCGCTTCAGGCCAATGCTCGAGTGGAACCCGAAAGGGAAGCGGCGAGTGGGACGTCCAAGGGTGACATGGAGGAGATCGTGTGAAGAGGAATTGAAACAGTATGGATTAACATGGACGCAGGTGAAAAGTACAGCAGAAGACAGAAGCAAGTGGAGACGTGCAGTTGAAGCCCTATGTTCCACTAGGAACCCAAGGGAACAATAATAATGTAATAATAGACGAGGTTGCGTGTAGTGCACCAGCCAGGGATCGAATCCCGGGGACCAACAGTCTTTTATAATCTTTGAGAATGACACCAATCTTCAGAGTAGTAATCATTTAACTGAAAGAATAATTAAACGTTTAGCAAACTACAGTAACACAAACCACACACGCTAAATTTATCATCAATAAACCAGTGGACGAACAAACAAATGGACAGCTAAAACGTGTTGAAACCGACCTTTTGTGCATCTTGAGTCTTTTTAGAGTATTGCTGTTGTTGTTGTTGTGTAACAACCGGTAGGTCTTCCAAACGATTTGTATGAAAAATCATATTCATAATTGTACTAATCCACTGAAATAAAATGGATAGTTTTGCAAAACAAAGAAAGATGAAACAAAAGAAAAGCAGATATACACACAAAACTATATATATACATATATTCAACGAGAGAGATTTGACAGATGTTACTTCTTGCTCTTACTTATCTAGGAAGCATCGTTTCAACCACAGGCTAAACGGTCGAAGATGTCAAAGCCAGCCAGAATCGAAAAGGCAAGATACGCCTTCATCAACCTGAAACAAGTTTGGAAATCTTCTGCACTCACTCAGCCAGTATAAAGAACAAGATTAGGATTCTATTCAACACAAATGTGAAGTCAGCCAGTCAGTTCTTCTATACCGGTCAGAAACTTGCACTGTGTGTCACGATAAGGATTTTCAGCAGGTTACAGAATTTTATCAACAGCTGCCCGCTTCGCTGGCTCCATGCTGAAGATCAAATGGCCAGAAAGAATTAGCAACAGGAAACTCTGGCTGGAAACAAACCAACCATAAGCCGATCGCTCAACAAATATGTAGGAGAAAATAGAGATGGATCGGGCATACGCCACTGAGGAGGTCGTCGAATGACATTGCGCGTTAGCCAGGCCATCACTCGAGTGGAGTTCGAATGGGAAACAGCGAGTGGGTCATCGGTGCGAGGGTGACATGTAGGAGATCGTGTAGCGAGGAGGAGATGAGAGATTATGGGCAATCGTGGAGCTAGCCCACTAAAGAGGACAGCACCAGAAAGAACAAATTGAAGATATGTTGACTGAAGCCCTCCCTGTGTTCCACTAGTAACCCAAGGGAATAATAGTAATATTTAAATAAAAAGCAACCAATTGATTTTACTGAAAAATCAATAATACATTTATTTTCATTGGACAATGTAAATATTACCATACCTCGTCTCGTTCAGTTTCACTTTCTGCTTGAAGAAGCACAGTTCTTTTTTGTTACATTAAAAGGAAATAAGAAAAGGAAAAAACGAAAAGGATTAAGCTAAGCGAATAAACTGATATAATCAAAAGTTGCTTTTTACAATTATACTACAGAGATATGATTACACAGAAATGATGTTGATAATGAGAAGGAAGAGGGGGTGGAGGACGATTATAATTCCCAGGGAATTTTAAATTATAACAGCTTTCACACACTTAAAAATAAATAAACACTTGCTTGACAATTAGAGCTAAACATGCAAATTGTAGGTTGAAATCATTGGTTTTTAAAGATAAAAAGCAAACTAGTAGTATTGTGGTGAGACCTGTCTGCAAGACAAAATTGTAGACAACAACTGACGTCGATGTTTACGTCCCGAATCGCGGGTCATGAGAAAAAGCAAGAACAAAGCCTAACCTTGAGGAATTCAACAACCAATCACAGCAAACTTAGTGTGTGCAAATACGATTCGCAGATATATGGATAACCTTGTAAGAGACGGTCACAAGCAGTACAGAATAACCTTCAACAAGAAAAACCAATCAGAAGACGTTGCTTCTCTGCTAAAATAACGAATAATAATGTGCATAAAAATCTATAAATATCTGTTGATTTTCTCAATAAACGATCTGTTGCCTAGCCCTTGACTTCTGTCATTACAGTATCAGGAGAGGATATAACCACCATCATTATTGATCAATTGAGTTACGGTTGCGTCAGCGGTTCAAGGGTTAAATGCTCACTAGACATGCACCTGATCCGGGGTTCCATTCTTGGCTGGCTGCTAGCCAAAATTGGTAGATAGTAATTTACGTCAATGTGTACGTCCCTAATATCGGTCATGAGAAAAATAAGAACAAAGACTGATTCAACAACCAATCACAACAGACTTTGCGTAGGCGGATACAATTTGCAGATAGATAATCTGAACTTCAATAAACGGTCACAAAGAGATGAAAGATTAACGTTCAGCGAGAAACCACCAATCAGAAGACTGTGTTTGTTTGCTTACTATAATTTATAATAATGTACATTAAAATCTATAGATATGTGTTGATTTCTTAAATAAACGATCTGTTGCCTAGCCCTTGTCTTCTTTTGTTATAATTCTACATCTCACCTAGCCGTTAGTAGAACTGGTAAAGCGGGAAGGTTGAGTGTCAGGATAGCAACTCCATCCCATAAAAAATAAATACCATTGGTACTGAAACTCCAAAGCTCAAGATTGAAGCCCTGTGTACCACTTAAACATATATATATAATTCTTCAACGTTCCCAGTGGAACATAGGGCTTTGAGCTAGAGGCCTGAAGTTTCGGTAGCAGTGGTATTCATTTTTACGGAATGAGTTTGCTAGCCTCATGCTCAACCTTCCCTCTTTACCAGTCTTATTACTGGTTTGGAGAGGTAAAGGAGTGCGTCGGCCGGGGATCGAACCTGGTATCACCTGCGTGGTTGGCGAGCATTCTACCGCTGTACCATCGGCGCATATATATATATATATAAATAGAAAGAGAGAGAGAGAGGGTTCAAATTTGGCCACGAACTGACTTCAGTTAGAGAACCACCGAAAACCACAACAGAGTACTGAACAGCAGCTTCGTCCCTATTTTAGGGACTCCTCAGTAGAAAGCGTCCATGAATCCAGAACCTTCAGGTTATACGACGAACTCGTTGATCATTTAGCCACTGACTGAGATAGAATCCAATGACTCACCAATTCTAACTTCTGCAAAATTCGCGAAATACACAGCAAAATCGGTAGCCAATGTCATCGGCAAGTAGTATTGTTCTCAGAACCAACCTGTTGGACCCTAGTCATCACGATTTCTCACAAAGACGTCAAGCAGATTCATCCTGTAGTCAGTCAATGGTGTGTATTGGATTAATTGAACTCGTGATCAAACTTGAAATCAATCAAATCCCTGCAAACTAACAGTTGAAAATCGCTACAGGGAAACACAAAACCTACTTAATTAATCCGAAATACATCACAACGAGTATCCTGGCTCGACTGCATACTGTTAATTAAAACTACAGAACAGAACATCAAGTTGAAAGTTGACGGAAGTATTCATCTGTGCAATCATTTAAAGCATTTATATGCTAAAACAGTTTAGTCTTTTCGATGCCTAAATACACACTCAAAGATGACAGAACAAATAATGTAACGCTGTTCAGCAAAGGCAGTAATTGTATCCTCATACAGTTAAAGGTTTGAATGCTAAGAATCAATTCTCAAAGATAAATAAGTGTCCAACTGACTGACAACGTGCAATTTTGCACAGAAGTTTAGCAATTCGAGTTGCAACGCTTCATATAGCACACAAAAATAAAGAAAAACCAAACTCAAAACAAAAAACTAATAATGAGTAGAAGTGTGCAGGAAAAAGAATAGTAACATGGAGAAACATGAGGAGTGAACGTATTTGGAAGACTACAAAGAGTGAATGAATCCGTGTCATCGACAACGACTTGGATCAGTTTACACCTCCCTACCGTGGCTAAAACCAAAACTGTCAAAGACTTTAACCCCATTATGGATAAGATTTTATTTTGATAAATCACACACACACACAGAGAAGGTAGACTGCACACTAGCAGCGTTTATAGAAAGCCAGCACATGCTAATAGATATTTAGACTTTAATTCATCTCATCCGTTATCTGTCTGTGAAGGCAGGCTTAGTTAAGTGTCTAACAAACCGAGCAATAGCCCTAAGTAGCACAAGAAAAGACCTAAACGATGAAATGAAACAGACAGAAGAAGAAGCGTTGGTGTTAAATAACTAACTATCCTATAAAATTCATTAGGAATATCAAGAAAGGTCAAAAGCAAAAAATAATAATAATAACCCTCTCAGAGACAAGCTGTGTAGGTTAAAGGACCCGGTGGACCCAATTAAAGAAAATAATATAATTTACTAAATACCTCTCAGTGACTCTGAGGTCAACTACATAGATCAAACTAGTAGATCAGGAGTGGTGAGATTATCGGAACACATGAGCTCAGCTAAAGTTAGAATGATTGATCCCACGAAGATAAGTAATTCAGAAAAAACTCAGCACTGCATGCATTAACACACACACACATGACACAATAGGGTGGTGGGATAGAGTCAAAATTCTAAGAAGTAATATAGGTAGATGGAGAGAGAGAGAGGTTGATTACTGAATCCTGGTTCATCGAGTCTACACCCAACACACGCAACAGAAATAACTCAACGCAAATACCAGAGATATGGAAGATATTATTACCACCAGTCAAATCAGAGGAGGATGATAAATAATCTTAAAATTCTATTTCAATTCACGTGCATCATAACATTCTAACAAGTTACTTATTTTGACTATACAAACACTCGTCTTATTTCCCATCTGATTGTATTTGATTGATAACACTCATGTTATTATTTCTGAATGTACATTATCTTATACTGATTTTTATTATCAAATGTCTAATCATCAGTTTCACTCATGTATATAAATGAAGCAAGAAAGCTGTGTGAGTGACTTGATATGATTATGAGCAGTAATAATTTGTGCTCGAAACGTGGTCATCAGTTAATATTACTGTACAACAAACACTGTGTGATTTATCAAAATAAAATCTTATCCATAATGGAGTTATGTTCTGTCACAGTGCCCATGTTTTATACTTATGTCAAAGACTTTACAGACTGATGCCAGGTTTGCGTTTTATCATCCCTAACCCCCCCCTCTCTCTCTCTCTCTCAACTTAATCCTATATCAACTGATAAGAGATAAATATAAACCTCATTGAATGTGATTAAGAAATTCTTCACTGAAATGCATTAAAACAATCGTTATTTTTAGGAAATTCTTATTCATTTATTAAACAGTAATTCCAATTATGTTTCTATCCTACTTAAACAGTTCAATTGACTGAACGCATTCTATGAAAACGGTGTTTATATCTTGTGAGTGAAGATGTGGAAGATGTGTGTTGAGTCACTTGACCTTGAACTGGTGCCGTCCCAGTTTCGAATCTCACTTCACCTACTTCAAACTAAGGCGACTAGGCAGTAGCATTAGTCTTCGCATAATAAAAATGTGAAGCGCTGCTCACAGCCTGTGGTGAGAGCTGGCTGCTAGCCAAAGTTGGTAGACAGTAATTGACGTCAATGTTTATGTCCCCAATATTGGTGGTGAGAAGAAAATGAGAACAAAGGCTTTGCGTAGGCGGATACAGTTAGCATATGGATGATCTGACACAGCCAGCCACAAAGAGATGCAAGGTTAACTTTCTGTGAGAAACAACCAATCAAAAGACTGTATTTTCTACTAACAATAATCTACAATAATGTACATTAAAAACTATAAATATGTGTTGATTTTCCTTAATAAACGATCTGTTGCCTGACTCTTGCCTTCTGTCGTTACAAGCCTATTTGGGTTTTCTTTTTTTTTTAAAAAAAACCTGTTCCGTGTAACTGTGTTCATCGATCTATCACAAGCTGTAAGTAAAAAAAAAATCCTTCAAAACAACAACAACAACTCACTTTCGTTCTGTAGGCGATATAACCTGAAAAACATTTCGTCGATCATCAGCATCAGTAGCCTCAGCATAGACTCCTTTTTGATTCAAGTCAAACAGTAAACTGGCAGCAATCTATGCACCAAAAGAAAAAGTATATTCAGTCACTTATTAGGATTAAAAATAAGCTTGATGTCATATACTTCTGACTGAGTGATATGAGTAGGTAGATTCTACTGGCACCAAACAGTAGGGCTTTGCTGGTCAGCTAAATTCGAAATGATCTGAAAGCACCGGATGGTCGTTTCGCTCGTCTAGGGCTGACCTCATCAGCTGCATACCTTGTTTGACTTAACTCAGAGGGGTAAATTCTGGATAGCTACTTCACAGAACTGGCGATTTGCACAGCAATTTGGCGGCTAGTCGAAATTCAGGTTGGTTTGAATCGATTCGGCTTTCTGGACTGAATCGAAACAGGTGAAGTGCTGATGAATGCGACTCCGAACGGGCGAAAAACAACCGTCCAGTGTTAACAGCACTTCGGACTAGCTAACAAGTACCCCCTTTGGACCTGATCGGTTTTAAATTAGTTATATGAATCAGCAGTAGTATACGGTATGCGAGAAGTATTTAAAGGATATACTGAAAATCCAATTCGACCGTCTGTTATTTTGACACTGAGTAGAACTGAACACTCAAAGGTTTAATAAATGACCACAACTATACAGATTTTCCTTTTAATTATAAGCATCAACCCTTATTGCATCAATGTGACTAACTGACGCGTCAATCTACAGCTTGGCACAGATATCCACACACTTCCCATATGCACGCGAAATAAGGAAAAAGAAAAACTGAGCGTAATGAAGCGCATAATCAAATAAAGACTCTCAGTATTTGTTTATTTTATTCCTTTGCGTTTCAAGTGGAATATACGGCTTCAAGCTTCAAATTTCCAGTAGCAGTGGTCTTATTTTTTTGCGGGGTGGGGTTGCTAGTCTCACAACCCCCAACCTTCCTCTTTTGTAGGACTTAGTACCAGCTAAGCAAGATTTATTAGTGTGCCGGCCGGATATAGTGGTTGGCGAGCATCCTACAGCTGCACCGACTCAGATCCTCAAAAACGACGAGTGAATACATCTACGCCATCAACAATCGATAACTATTGATTCTAAAAATCAAAATAACTCCCAAATATGCAATTTATACCACTCTGAACATAGATGGCATCAGCCTACTAAACTTAGGCTATCAAATTTCAGAAAAACATAATTGTTTAATGCATTGACGCAGAAAACGTAAAAGTACAGGGTCGAACTTACATCACCATACTGTTGATACATAAGATTTCCATTCTGTGTAAGACAATAAACTTCTATCCATTTCCAGACTAAATTAGCCCGAGTACGCATTAACAGACAACCAGATTTTGTCAGCAATTTCTTATTCGGTTCACGTGGTTCAGTAGAAGCATTATATTCTTGATTAGGTGCTACATTTACAATAATCCCAATGAATAAATAAATAAATAATTAAAATTTAAAATAATGCAAAGATCAATCCACCTCATATATGGTATTTGGTTGATGGTGACTAGTAATGGAATCAAGGTTGCACGTTTCGTCCTATTCGGGACTCGTCAGTTAATTTACGTGCATCCCCGGTGATTGACATTGTTCCCCCACTGAGGTCTCAACTGATATACCGTGGCATAAGAGGTAACTCTCACACAACCAGTGGATAGAGTGTTGGTGATTGAAACGGTGGTAGGTGCTAGGCTCGAGTCTTGTCACTCACTGGAGATGCAGATACATTCAGATGACGAGTCGTGAATAGGACGAAGTGAACACCTTAGGTTATTCAGAAAAATGTATACTTATGTAATTTCAGTTGTTAGATTTCCTTACGAACCAAAATCAGTTAAAGATATTTGAAAACCACGGTGCACTGAACAGCTGTTTCAACCTACGACCCCATAAGGGATCAAACCCAGAACCTTCAGATTACCAGATTAAGCTCATTGACTATTCATCCACTTGAACAGGAATTAAATGACCCGTAAATACCTACTTTGTCAATTCGTGATGTAGTACCACCTTCACTAATTCCCTTCGATGAGTATCTACTTCATCTCGGCATGATGGACCTCACTACAGCTCCAGGATATTCACATCCAGTAGCTATCAATGAACTATACATTCATATTTAGATTACAGGATTTGAATTAAATTAATTTCACTTGTTCGACTTCTTTATGATGGATACTCATCAAGGAAATCGGTGAGGGTAGCGCCATATATCACGAGTTGGTAAAGTTACGATTCACGGGTGATTTAATTCCGGCAATAAATGACTGAATAGTCAAACAGCTTGGTCTCGTAACCTGAAGGTCCCGGGTTCGACCTCTAGTGGAGTTGTAGATGCATGCTGATGAATAATCCCCCAAAATAGAATGAAATAGCTGCTTAGTTCTACCTGGTTGTCAATGCTGGTTAATGATGACATTTAACAAGTGAAATCAAGTTAATTGAAATCGCAACAAATCCTATAATCTAAATATTTTCAAGTATTGGTTTTGTAGGGATTTTGTTTGATTGCATGGAGGATTTCATCATGAGCTGACATCAGTTAGAGAACCACTGGAAAACCTGGGAGTACTGGACAGCCGTTTCGTCCTAGTTTGGGACTCTTCATCAGTACGCGCCCACCGGATTGAGCCAGGACCTTCTGGTTACAAGGCGAGCTCGTAGACCATTGAGCCACTGGGACCCGATCCAATGGTCCTTGAATTCTAACTTCTGCCAATTCACGACATAGCGCGACCATTTCGCAATGTCTTCTTCGATGAGTTACTGCCTCATCTTCAACCTGCTGTACCCTACTGGTCACGGCTTCCCACTAGAACCCCAGGTTAACTGCCTGAATAGGGCCAGTCACTAGTGAGCATCAGATTAATTTTCAAGTATTGGTTTTGTACAGAAGTTAGAATTCATGGACCATTGGATCGGGTCCCAGTGGCTCAATGGTCTACGAGCTCGCCTTGTAACCAGAAGGTCTGTGAATCCGTGGCTGATGAAGAGTCCCAAACTAGGACGAAACGGCTGTCCAGTACTCCCAGGTTTTCCAGTGTTCTCTAACTGATGTCAGCTCATGATGAAATCCTCCATGTAATCTAAATATATTTAGGCATTCAGAATATTTTCCTGTAGTAATATGTATAATACTGACGTGAATTAAAGATAATTTAAAATCGAAAGTGTATATATAAGCTTATGCAGCTGAGACGTAAATGCATAATACATAATAAATCAGACAAAAATAAATGTCTTAAAAGGTTTGAAGTATTATTTAAATTGTTAAGATAATATTTCAGACATAAGATGATGATATTCTAATATTGTACACCTGGATTTCGCATGTCTATCATCCTTAGTAGTATAGAAAACAAAATACACCAAAGCAAGAAAAATCACATGGTTCTACACTACTGTTGTCTCACAAGAAAAGATTAGCAATTTTAAATCATGTATCATAAAACATGATTAACAAATCATCAATCTGACTGACTGACTAATTGATTGATTGATTGAGTCTCAACAGAGAACTTAGCAGAGAAATGTAGGAGTTCAAGTTGCTAAACTCCATATAAAACATAAAAGTTGAGAAAAGAGAAGCTCAAAAGAACTACAATAAGCAGAAATGTGCGAGAGTGAGAATAATTTACATGGGGAAATATGAGGATTTAATGGATCTGGGAAATTACACGGAGTGAGTCCGCCTGTGTCATTAACAGTAATTCATACCCATGACAGCAGCATTCTGCAGCTATTGTCTGTCTGGTGTCTAGAACTTTGCACCAATGCGCGGCAGTTCAAGTCGCCACACTCCATGTAGCACACAAAGCAAGAGAAAAAGTAGGAGAAATGCATATTAGAGACAGTAAACAGGTGTGAGACAAAGGAATAAAAATAACGAAGAACAAAAGTTTCATTGGAAATCATAAGTCACAAGGATTGGATGCATCTGCGCCAGCCACTGAGAACGATTTTGAGCCATGTCACCAATTGTTTCCAACCAGTGGTTTTTACTGTCCCGACGACCCCAACCAAGAAGTCTACACCTTCCTACACGGCTAGCTTAAACTAACTGTTGTGAATTACATTGACTGATGACATGTTTTCGTTTGACGGCCGCTAGCTCTTTTCCACCCTGACCCTATATCAGCTAACATTGCCCGTCGAGGAAGGCGATGACTAGACATACGTAACACATGTCCTAACCATCTCAATCGGTGTAACTTCACAGTCTCGTCGATTGATTCCCCTTCCCGCCTTACCTAGCACTCGACGCCTAGCCACAATATTGCTCACCTTATTATACCACTTCACACGGGAGATAGAACGCAGACACCTATGATCAAACACAGCTAATCTTTTCATGTCTTTCACTCTCAATGGTCAGGTCTCACTGGCACAGCCATAAAGGAGGACGGAGCGGACTGATCAGCAGTACACACGCCCTTTGGTCGATAGCCACCCGGATATCACGTCTACGCCAGAGACGGTGTAAACTGGCATATGCGAACCTAGTCCTCTGTATTCATGCTGAGATTTCGTTAAAGATTAACCCGTTGGGGCTGATGGTACTTCCCAAGTAAGTGAAGCGGTCAACGTGCTCTACCACTTCACTTCCTATTTCTAATCTAGGAGTCGGTGTAGTCCAATCCTGCAGCTATTGGTTTTCAGCGTCTCCAATGTGGTTCAAGCCAACAGTCAAGGACTTCACCGATTGATGCCAGGGTTTAACATTTTTTTGTCAAACAAAAAAAGTATTTTGATTGGTCACTGGGTAGTAACTAATGACATGCATCTAGTCAATCGCGAGCCTGAATAGCTCAGTGGTAACGTCTCCGACCACAGCACTGGGTGATGAGGATTCAAATGTCAGAGGAGAGATGAGTTGCCTCAAGATTGCAGATACACCTCGCTGAAGAGTACCAGCAAGCACGAAACTTAGGTCCATGCGGTTTAATTTCCATTGTCCCCAATCATCATAACATAGAAAAGTATGCTTTCTATGGCCAAAATACAACAGTTCATTAACTAAAGCGTATTACTAAACTTTTGGAGTTCAAATTACTGCTTTAACTTTTGAGAACAATGCCAAAGCGTGAATGTGCAACCAACGAGTCAACTCACTATCATAATAAGTAAGAGATAAATATTGTGCATGTCAAGTTTACCTTCCAGTATACTTAAGTCGAGTGGTACATGCATCTGATAATGACAAGGAAAGTCACTCTATATTATGATGTAATTTTATTACATACTTAGTATCACATCTTTGTATGCAATGAGAAAACGCTGTAGTTCCATTCTAATGTTGAATGGTTGGTGGTAATCGACAGGAATCCCTGAACCTAAGCTTCATGCTTATTTGCACACATTAGCAAGGGTTACACACACAAACAACAGAGGAACTGATATTCTCATTGAGGTTCAAATCAGCGTCATCCAATGCTGGAGTTAAAGAAATTACCATTGAACTATTAGTACGACAACTGATCTCCAGGTAGGATAAAGAAAATAAGCTAATATGTACCGAAGTATCAATAACAAGTTCATAGTAAAAATTCTGACTGTACATTCTTACGTTAGCGTTTAGATAACATGTGTATTCAAAAAGCAGAAACAGAATATACCATTAGTGTTTGTGTATATAAACGAATAATTGGATTCGATTTTTACTCACATCCATTTAAAATCCAAGGTTCTGGACAAAAGTAACTCAGAGATTTATGTTCAACTGAACTGTAATTAATAAGAGACTTTCTTCTTACATCTTCAAACGAACCAATGTACCTAAAGATTGAAATTGTAGAAAAACAACCTGCATAAAAAATAAACAAGGTGAGGGCTTAGTAATATCACAAAATATTTGCCCTTCAAGCAACTTTGCAGTCAGTTAAAAAAAGACTTCACCACAAATGAAGCTTACAGATGTGTAAAAAAGAATGAAAGGCTAATGGTTAATTGTGCTTTTCAAGGACAAATGGATAACACGAATCAAAACTATTACACAGGGTACCTTTCTCTAACATGTGACAAAAATACCTCTTAGTTTTGGACTGGAGTATCGACAGAGTAATTTGACGACATTCTGTGCGTGTAATTATCTAGGTGTTCTAACCTTAACAATTACCCTGATCTTTCCTTAACTTAAAGTTAACGTGAAAATATTCCTAAACTAACCACCCTACTCTAACCCGAACCAACTCTAATGTCGCCCTTGTTAGGTTAACCTAAACATAACCTACCCTTAGCATAAACCTTAATCTTTCTCCAAAAGTAATCAGAAATTTACCAGATATTCCATTTACTAACACAACACTTCAACAAGCATATTTGATCCATGATCATAACACTATTTGCCGGGCTTCACTAACATGCTCAGTGAGTGTTTTAAGGCCACTGGTGTGATCGCACTCCGTTGGTATTTACTAGTGCTTAAAGTTTAATTTGGCTAAAACTTACACCGAATTAAGCTAAAATATGGACTTTTAATGAACTTCTAACTGCAAAGTTAATTACCGACAAAGACTGACAAGTTACACTAACTGCATGATGAATATTAATAATAATAATAATAATGCAATGTTCATGTTTGGCTGGTGGAAGAGGATCTAAAACCAACATCTACGAGTTAAAATTAGGTATATGATTTGTCGGGAAAGCCAAATTTCGGCACATTCATATTATTATACATTTCCAAAATTGGAAAATTCATATTAATAGCTACTTTATGAAATAAATTCACGCTGGTGATATTAATATCTACCATTAATATACATAGATAAAAATAAACAAGTATTTGTCACGTTCTATCACCAGTCGCATTTATATATTTACAATTAGATGAGTACAGAGACAAGTTTCCGTGTGCTTTATTTTGAAATATTTCCAGCAATGATCCTAATAACTTAGTTTGTTTGAAATCCCTTGCCCAGAACAAGTCTTTCATGTCAGGATATGAGGCACACAGTGTGAAAATTGATACTACTGCAGAGTCTCCCATGAGATTCCAACTCCTGACCGAATGGCTGGAAATCTATTGCTTAAGTCAATAAGCTGCATCTGAGCCTAAAAACAACAGGTGGAATCTGTTGGAATTTATACAGTAACAATACAACAACACGTAGTTTTAGAGAACATAAACGCTTGCAGTTAAAAAGCTTTAACATAACTACTTCATAAAAAACATCACTAATTTATCTCCAAGTGAATTAACGTGAGTATATACATCAACTCTTCCAGTATCTGAAATTGAATCACAATTCAGCTTGTCAGCCACTTTTCATTTCCAATTATATTATTTGTATATAAGCAGAAAGGACGTTAAAAGAAACTATGTCCTTGGTTAGTTAATAATGAAATTAGAATTAAACTTAACTGAATTTTATTAAGGAAAAATAACTCACTTTTGTAGAGACTGTTCAGCCATCTCAATGAATGAATTGACAATATCTTGATTAAACAAATTATATGCAGTTTGTATATGATTCTTTTGCTCTGCTATGAACGTTTGAATAGAAATAAGCGGTGCAAGATCTCGAATTTGTTCGGCTTCATTCAGGTGACCATAATAGCGCGCAGCCATACATGCGAATTTTCGACGAGTCTAAAATAAAAAATCCCTCCGCAAAGCTAGACACACTGTTTTATGTAAGACGAATGAAGTGCTATTCAGGAGAATAAATTAGTGTATATCAAGGAGGCATAATACCATAAAAATTTCAAATAAAAAGATACCACCCCGCAGACCGCTTGTAGCAAGAAAGCTAAGTGATTGGAGAACTAATATTACTGTTGTTCATGCGAGTTTCCTAACACAATGACTTGAAAAAGAGTTTCAATAAAGAGATAAAACATTATTTCTAGTTTTATAATAAGTGTGGATAGTATTTTAGACGCATAAAATGCCTTCACTGACATCACAATAACTCCAAGGCCAAGTAGATTATTTATAAGATATTATTGACAAAAAGACATTGATTACTATGTTTTCTGTTGATTAAACAACAACGGAAAAAATGAAATACTCCTGTACTCAGCAATCTCGTGCATAAATATCATTAAAGCAAGCAGTATCTAGGTAAAAATCACACATCTTACAGAAGTAACCTCCAAAACACAATTTTGATGGATCTTCGGGGAGCATTTCTTCGGCAGTTTCATAAAATTTTGGAAGGCTTGCTCGCGAAGCTTCTCACAGTTTTCCATATCTTCTGACTCTTTAGGGAGTTCTGAGAATCTAAAAAGAATAAGGCCAATTTGTAAATACTGTCAAAGACACCGGAGAGGAAATCCTGGAGTTTGTCCACCAAATTATTTCTAAGCTCATCCCCGTAACCTTCGTGTAACAAGCCAAGCTAAACAGTTAGACGAATATAGCAATACCTCATCCAAAAAGCTAGAAAACTGAAATCCTAGTTGTCTCATTTCTTCATCTGAACAAAAAGTATACCTCTGAAAACAATAAAATGTTGCCATCAGTGGGACCGTGATGAGAGCAATACCTGAGTAATCATGTCTCTCAAAAGTGAAGAGAGCTCTCTGTATGCAGCAGCTAGCTGTGACTATTTGGAGATATCAGAACAAAACGTTAAAATTAACGAACCTCACAGCGACAAACTGCCTGAAAACTATCCCGCAACTGCTTTACGCATTCGCCCACTTTGTTAGCATTTTCCGAAATAGTAGAAACAAGAAGTTTGGTCTAAACCAACATGTTACATCAAGAAATTCAAGGATTCACATGAGGAGAAACCGTCACAATATCGTCAATAGTCAGGAGTTCAAGGCCAGCCATCACAATTTTGTACTTTGCACACACTTTCAATATCCAAACTAAGTGTTAGAGAAGAAATTAGGAAGCATGTTACAATCTTCTGTTTAAAAGACAGGGGATAAAGTAGACTGTTGAGTCTATGGAAGCACTTATCAATGTGAAGATAAGGCCTCACTAAGAAAGCATTCATAGGAATAGTTAATTGTATGTGTTCAAATATCCAATATCGTTTTTATGAGCTAGTATAAACCAATTTGATTTCTTTGTGCTCGCCTCCTGATTGTGAGATATAGGTTCCTGGTCTTCGGTAAACTTCTGCATAGCTTGTCCCGCCACTCGACTGTCGTAGCTTTGGTTGACTCCAAAAGGAGTAGTGCAGGGATTAATTGTATGTGGTTTGTAGAATGAGGTGTGTTAAGACTGTTACTACTGTGAATGGAGTTGATCCTTTCACCAGTTGGTCCTGCGGTATCGTCGTCAATAGAAAAGAGATAATAATAATAGATATAATTAGTGAAGGTATTCAGACTAACAGACAGAAAAAGAATAAGAAAACGTAACAACAGTCAGTCAACCGGTATATATATATACCGGTAATAATAATAATAGGTGTAGTTAAAGCTGTCAGGAGAGTAAGACTGAAGAGAATGTAAAGAAGTAAAACGACCAGTTTAATTGTCTACCTTTGAATGGTGTATGCGATTTTAAGGGGATAGGCCATTTGGATGCAGTCCTTGTGTCGCTGCATGGTTGTCCAGCCTTCGCTTAAAGGCGTCCACAGATGGTGCCATAGCTACATCTGCCGGTAAGGAATTCCAGGGACGGCAAACCCGCAGGGAAAAGAAGTGGGAGCGGGTCCTTGCCCTCTGATGAGCTATCCTTCTTGGATTTCCACGAGGGAGCCTACCTACTCAATGGCAGAACACCTTTGTTTGGGTGATTCTGATCATTTGTTATTTTGTAGGCAGTAATTAAATCCCCCTCAGACGACGGTAACTAAGTGTGAATAGGCCTAATTTCTTCAGCCTTTCATCATATGGTTTATTTCGGAGACCAACCACTCCTTTTGTTGCCCGTCGTTGGACTCTTTCCAAGAGGTTGGCGTCTCTTCTAAGCAGTGGGGGTGCAATGATATTATGCACTTCAAGGTGCGGTCTGACGTATGTTTTGTACAACCTTAGAAAGAGCTCAGGAGTGAGTGCACCTAACTGTCTATGTGTAAAGTGTTTGACCGCATATGCCCTCTCTACATCCCCTGTGTAATTTACGCTTGTGTCCATTTTCTCCGTTAGAACTAGACCTAAGTCACGTTCCGACGTTGAGCAGGACAAGCTTTCATTGCACAGGGTGTAACTTGCATTCTGAAGTCTACAGGTGCCTAACTTCACTACTTTGCACTTTTTCAGGTTGAAAGTCATGCCACTGGCCACCGCCCAGTCTTCCAGAAGCCTTAGATCTGCCTGCAGTCTATCTGAGTCCTCCGGACACTTTATCGCCCTCCATATCTTCACGTCATCAGCGTATAGAAGAGTCGGGCAGCTTAGACGGCATGGTAGATCATTGATAAAAATCAAGAACATCAGTGGTCCCAGGATAGAACCCTGCGACACTCCTGATGACGAGCTGTGCCAAGATGATCGGACTCGATTGACCTTGGTGCAAAATTGCCTTTCAGTTAGGTAGTCCTTCAACCATGACAGAAGTGGTTTACCTATACCTACCTGGCTTATTTTGTGTAGGAGAAGGTCATGGTGAACAGTGTCAAATGCCTTCTCAAAGTCTAGGAAGACCACATGGACTGGAACATTCATATCCCAGTATGATGTCCAGTCGTCCCAAGCTGATAATAAGTTAGTGACGCAGGATCTCCCTTTCCTGAAACCGTGTTGGGCTTCATGGAGTATTTTAGACCTATCGAGATATTCCCTGATGTGATCATCAATAATACTTTCCAGTACTTTTGATACCACTGGGAGTAGAGCTACTGGTGTACAACTAGTGGGATTTTGCCTATCCCCACCCTTGAAGATCGGAGAAAGGATGCTTCTTTTCCATTCCTTTGGCAGTTTCCCCGATTCCATGGAGTGTTGGAACAAGTCGCATAAGGGCCTACAGAGAGCTTCGGCGCACTGTTTCAGAACAGATGGCCTGATGTCATCACAACCTGGGGACTTCTCAGGTATGAGTCGCTGCAGCTTTCTCAGTACTATTGCAGGGTTTATTTGGGGGGTGGCTATTTGGTCTTCCTCCTGTGAAATAGTGATGCCACCATTTTGGTCCGTAACGGTAATACCCACATTGCTGTTTAGCTGTTTGGCGAAGGCTAAACTAAATGTTTCAGCCATCTCCAGACTAGTGAGATATTGACCGTTTTGGCCTACTAAGGCGCACGCCCCCTGGTTGGTTGGTTTCCTTTCCGACATGAATCGGTACAAATTCTCCGGGTTTGCCAGGAGCTTTTTAGCAAGGTTAGCCTGGAATGACCTCCTGTCCCTCCTGACTCTTGCATTGCACCGGTTCCTGAGTTCCAGGTATGCATCATGGTCGATCTGGCTTTTAGATACGCGCCACGTAAACCAAGCCTTCCGCTTTGCTTGCAGAATACGCTGCGTCCCTCTCTTTAACCATGATGACTTTCTTTTGGGCTGTGTTGTGACTAAAAGGACGGTATCCGAGATTACTGTATGAATAATCTTTTTTACCACCTCCCAGTGTTCATCCACAGATAGCTCATCCCATGCTAAGGGCCAGTCTGCATCGGACAAGAGCCTCCGCATTTCAGCATAGTCAGCCTTGCTATAACACAGACATGGCCGCTTAGCGTCCCACTACAAATGCTCAAGGAGAACGAGATCGAAACCTGTGACTGCATGGTCACTACTTCCTAGAGGAGTCATGATCTGGACTTTTTCGACGAGTAGTTGGTCACTAGTTAGAATGTAGTCTAGTTTTGATGACTTTCCACTAGGGCCCCACCTAGTGTCGTCTCCAACATTCTCAGTCAGTCCCGTGTTTCGAATAGCTTGCAGTAGATTTCGGCCGAATTTTCCCTTAGCATACCCCGAGCCAAGGTTCAGTGATGGGGCATTGAAATCTCCAGCAATGGTGATTTGGTCATAGCCCAAGTCTCGTATCCCTGTGATAGTGCTGAGCAGTAGCTGATTGTGCTCTGCCCCACAGGTGAGAGATCGGTAGATGCCACCAAGTAAATGCTTGGTGTGGCCTACGGTGAAATGACACCATATGGAGTCTGGGAGTTATATAAGTGGTGGGTCCGTTGCTCGCACACATTTAAGTTGCCTTTCAAAGTATATAGCAACTCCCCCTCCTTCCTTATTATCCCTGTCTCTCCTGATGTTGAAAAGTTTATAAAAGAAATGTAAAAATTTTAGAGCCCTAAGGGAGAAAATTTGCGAAATGTTGATTCCGGGGTTGTTCTTAAGTATACATATTTTTGAATATAGCTTGATTCCACACTGCATCCGCAGGGGATTAAACGCCGGACCATGTGCATGGACGGTGAGAGTTCTAATCGCTGTGCCACCGACGCAGATAATTGGATAAGGATAATTAGACAATAATTCCCCTGTATAGGACATATATGGTAGACCTTAAATATCACGTTCTAGAACAGCTGTAAAAATTTCACTTGGAAATTTTTTTGTCAATAATTTTTAATAAAATTGTGTTATATGTTATCTGGATTGATGGGAATTCCCATTTTCTGGCCAGTTATTTTGGTGTCCGCGTCATGTAATCCGACTGCGACACCCCCTAGCATATTGGTTGCAACGATCAGTGTTTCAGGCAAACTGTAGCAAAATATCGCTATAATGAGAAAGATAGGATAGTTGAAGGGTAATGTCATCTACACATATAGTCTACTTTATTTAGATGCTGCACCTTTCGACATGGTATCATTCAATGGCGACTTCACGTCTCAGGATATTAATTCAGCCTATTTCCGTGTGAAGAACAGTCCTTTTTGACAAAAGAATTCTATCAGTACTTGGAAATCACCTGTAAATGCTAACAGAACCTTCTGTGGGAATAGAAGTAATCATGTAGATGTGTCTCACCGTATGTGTGTTTGGACAGGAATTATCGTAAGTTAAGAGGTTATTTCTAAGTGTATTTCATGTATATTTGCACTGTTTGGTGTAGCGTAATAAGAGTTATATGGACTCAATGCATAAAAAATATCTCAACTTTATTAATATTGTGCCATTGTCTGCTTAGCTGACTGCTTGGCTAGCAAACGTAGGTGGTTGTCATGATTATTGCAAGTGCAGTGCAGTGCACTCGTTTAAATTTCCTTACTGTGTCACTTAGTGCATTAATTCAGTGTATAGTATTATTATACACATGGATTGTGTCAATTATGAGAACTGAATCTAGTCAGCTCTATTACTATCAATCTACGGTCTGTTATGCCATTCTCACTGGCACTGTAAACTTAATGCTGCAATGTTTTTGATCACCAATAGTGGTGATGAATTTTTCATGAATTTTCCATTAACATGAAGCAGTACAGATGCAGTGTCACGATCGAATGTCTAGGCTGCATTATAAGTCATTGTTATCCTCATCAACACAACAGGTCTGCGTATCTTACAATATATCAAGTGTTTCTCTATGCTGCTAACACTGTGCATAGCTATTTAGAGTTGAAGCATGTTCAGCTTATACTTGATGGCTACAGATTCCTTAATGTGAGAATGTAATTTTTGTAGTATTCATAAAACTATGCTCATTAGACATTACTGAGATTATGGATCAATTTCTAAGTTACACATTTGCAATACTTCATTTAATGTAAACGTATTTAGTGTGAAGTTGATCCGCAAGTAAGGTTGATGAGGGTATGACGCCTCAACAGTATGGAAGTTTCAAAGATTGTCTTGATATTTGCGTATAATCCTTTAATACTGGTAAACATATGTGGTCTATTGATGCTTATGGTGTCAATATAAAAACCAGCTGTAAACTACAAATACATTTATTTGCATGAGATATTACTTAGTATTAATAGAATCAGTGTATTCATAGTGTGTGCTAATATGTAGAATTATCTTTCATAACTTCATGTTATGCTAGTCCTTACATGTGCTTTATTTTTTTCAGGTATACGGAAGTTGTCGAATATGAAATCAGCGGAAATGCCATTCGGTCAAACTAATGTTAATACTCTTCATCGGGATTTTCTTTTGTAAATTAATGAAATGTTTAATATACTCTTCAATTCTACTTCCTCTAGACTTTTTCAGTGCGTCGCTATACTATGTGCTTTTGTAATAAGTGAATTCGGATCAATGCATGTTAAGCTTAGTTAGTGGGATGGAGATTTACTATGGTATTATGAGACTGTTACTTTAGCCCTTCGTAGGATTTCGTGTGTGTTTCTATACAGTAGCACATTGTAAAAACTAAGTAGGATTTAGCAAGTTGAATAATAATTCTGTACTGTTCGATACGCTAAAATCGCCTTATCTAGCCAGTTGCAAGTCTGTATACTGTTAAACGCCAAGTATGAAGTACAAGTAAATGTAATAACTTAGGCTTGATAGCTACTCCACTAATCTGTTAATATGCAGTGACATCATCAAATAGACTGTTCACTTGACAGTGAGCAAAGAAACAATTTTCATCTATTTCTAATATGCCGTTGAATCATGTGATGTTATCTAATATCAATCATTTCTATGATCAACAACTGCGGTGTTTGCATATCTACTTTATGAATATTAAATAACTCACGCCTTTATGCATCTAATTACCCCCAGTATTTCCTATTCATTTGATGTGTGTACGGTAAACAAGGCCTTCATACGTTCTCCCACAAATGCCAAGGTTTCTGTTGTCACAAGTGTTAATAAGAGTTGCTTCCTTGGTTTCAATACAAATGGCGTTCTAAAATACCTCCAGTCGTTGAACCCTTCTTGTAGCCTAGTTCCAGATTGTTTGCCTAGCTTTATTCTTAAAAAATGTGCAGATATCCTCTCACATATTTAATGAATCTTTTTCCAGAAATGTTGTGCCAGCCGTTTGGAAGGATATTAAAATTGTACCTATACCTAAGTCGTCTAATGAAACATGTTTTAAATTTAGACCTATTGCTATTACCTCCCCTTTTCTAAAAGCTATGGAAAAGTTACTCTTACTTAATCTTCAACCTTCACTTAAAGCCTTTAACGATTCCAAATAATTCGCCTATAAACACAGTAGAAGTACTTTAGATGCAGCTGCAGTCTTGCATCACAACATTTTCTCCATTATAGTCGTCCACTACCAATTGTATTTTTGTTTGACGAACTTAATGTACATATGCATACGAAATGAAATATGTCAAGTGCGCGGACTAACTATTCCAGTGTCTTTTAATTCGCAGCTACACTGTACAAAGATGAACAGCTCTCTATCAGGAGTCAGAAAATGCTCTTAAACTAAATCCTTCGAAATGTCACTGTTAATTTCAGTTTCCGATGTAAGAGAAAGTCAGGCGAAGCTGTTAATTCCTATGACCGTTGTGAAATTGATGACAGTGATATAGAAATCAAGTCTGACTTTAAGTATCTCGGACTAATTCACCAAACAGCGTATTAGCCCTTAATGTACACCACATGAAGGCATAATGTTTATGATCTAGGTATGCAACTCTAGGTGAGCGCTTGTACGGTACATTCATTATTTATAAAACTAACTCGTATGTAAGAACTACGATTTGACCAGTTATTCAACGTTTAATATATTTAGACACAATTAACCTACGCTGCTTACTTCTATGACGCATTACGTAAAGCTACCTTAATATAGTTTCCGCTGAAGGTAATCTCCTATAGCTACTGCCTTAGTGAGCAGATTAACCTTATCTTTGAATTGCAAAGTGAAAGTGGAAATTCTGAGAACTTTCTTGGTAAAAAATCGTCTCTTACTCGAATAAAGTAAGTATACCCTAGTCTCCTCAAAAGCGTTTAGAGGTATTCATCCTATCACCTCAAATGACTCACTATTTGCAGTTACAACAGTCAGATGCGCGAAATTAGTCCGAAACACAATGACTACGATTCTCAGTCACAGAACATCCTACTTTGCTACCTAATCGTCTAATCGTATCAACAGAAGTTTCGCCAAGAAAAAGAAGACCACTGGTTCAAGGAAAATTTATTTAAAGTTTTCTTTAAAAAATTATGGAAATCCGTGTTTATAGTCACGGAGAAATCACAACATCGAGAAAACCAGCGATCGTAGACCACAACCCAAAACGTTATTCTTGCTAAGTAAAGTCTTAGCTTTAACTGAGATCGTTCGTACACTCACTAGATCATCGTATTTTATTCATTTTGTAAATCGTTTTGCACCATATGGAGTGGCTGTTAACACTGGCTCTACTAAAGGCAGTCCTGGTTCATGCATTTGGATCTGGTACATTAAGCATTAATAAGCATACATAACACTTACCCTTTAGGGGTTCCAGTTTCTTTTAGTTCCCAAAAATACACACAAGCACAACAGATTCATACTTCTCATATGGCTCAAACTTGTTTGATTTAGATTCTCTCACAATATATATCTGACTTTTTAACTGATTACAGACACACTGACGGTAATCCATCTTCTCGAAAAGCTTTCTTCAAACCAGGCTCTAACCCAGCTAGCAACGATTTCGGGCGCATTGCAGACTTTTTGGGGCAGGCTTAGGGGCACTGTTCTACGTAAGTAGATGCGCCCGAAGTTTTTTGCCCCAAAAACCTACAGTGCGCCCGAAAATTATGCTAGCTGGGAAATTCTCAAGGTTTAATATGCTCTTCGAAAAACTTGCTAATATCAACCCTGATCGTGCTCTCTTCACCAGATTCACTCGTAGATTGTTGCATGCTGTAAACATGAACGTGAACGACATTTTTTCTTCAGATTTCTACATATTAAGTAACCAATTGATCCAGCAACAATAATGGCAACCAAAAAATGAACCAGAAACAACAACTTTTGCCACCCAAACATGTTCACGTGCATATTCTCCAAAACTTCTATACAGTTTTATTCCAAAACAGCTGGAAAACAACTTACACACTGAAACCGCTCATGAATGTAAGGTATGAAGCAATGAAAATGAAATGAATAAACTGACCTGGTGATAAAACCCTTCGAAACAAACGAAAAAACTAATTTTAACAGCGACGGAAACAAAAATGAGGTGAAACGCGACATTTGTGAATAATATGAATCAAGGTAAGTTGTGAATAACTGAAGGATAAACGTAAAAAGCCAATGTATAAACGAACGGTTAAGGAACGTCAATCCAACGTGGTCGATTAAAATGGACAAAAGTGACCTTTAGGTGCCTAACTCTTCCGATGACCTTGGACATGCGGGATAATTTCAGTCGGTGTCAAAAGACAAACTGAAAAAAGAAGTTAGTAGAAATCAACATGGTTGTTATCGTGAGAGTAGAAATGGTTGAGTAATTTACTTTTCTATACATGTTTCGCGTTTCTCTGACATAACAGCTAAGGCTTTAGTAGTGCAATATAGACCTTTGCGTATTGCTTTTCGCAGGTTGTTCTTCACTTTGTAGATCAACTTGGAGGAGGAGATTGCCGAGATGGAATGACCATCGTTGACAGAGTGTTCAATTATCGCACTCTCCAAACAGCCACCACGGCCTGTTTGCAGACATGGTGTTCTTGAACCCATTTATACGAGGTATGCGTCGAACAAACAATGTATCTTTCTCCACAGGAATAGGTGAGCTGATAAACACACAGAAGTGGTCAGGTGCAAGATTTTATTTTTAAAGATTCTGTAGACCAACAGACGACTGGCGAACTCTACTCTTAGCCCTACTGAGGAGAATGTTTTCAAATATGATGAAATTCTTTTCTTAAGAACATCTCAAGTTAGGTATCCACTTAAATCCAGGTTAGCGTAAGGTTTTTTTCTTGGAACTATCAGTGTTTCTTTCTTCCGAACTTCTGGTTTCATATTTCTGCCAATGAATCTTGGCGGGTATCCATTTGGGATAGAGGTTTCTTTCAGAGGTTTCAGTCCAGCTTCTGGGGCGTTAGGACTATAGAAGCATTGGGTCTGAGAGGCAAGGGATTTAATTTAGTTTAGCTGTCGTTCAGCTGGCACCCAACTGTACAAATTGGGTATTTGACCGTTCCGAGTGGTTTCCCTGGGGAACGGCCTTCTTAAAGTTCCGTAGGGTGGCGTGAAATTGTCTGTTTCTATAACTATTCTCTTCCTTTCTTTGGTATGTTTTAGGCCCCCCCCAGGCAGGCGTATAAGCAGCTGTTTGCTAATGAGAGCAAGGTCAGATCCTACGTCACAGACGTGGTTTAAGCACTCTGCTGTCCACAATTCCCAAGGCTATTTCTTCCTCAACTTAGCCAGACCCATGTCTCCATATAAAGGAATCCGCGATTCAGCTTCTTTGATGTTATACACCAGAAGATATGGTAGTATCGCCCCCTGCGAAACCAATTAAAAGTTTTATAGGTCTAGGCTTCAATAATTTGAAAACTGTTCCTCAAATAATTATTTAGTATGACGAAGATAACGTAATGAGTCTGAAGTTGTGTAGCATTTTTAGATGTATTACATATGTGTAGAAGCCGCAGAATGCATATTTGTAGACTTTCAAAAATTCTTGATGCAATTTTGTGTTGCAAATACATTTATGATATATTCACTTATCATTTCACATATTGAAGGTGTTTTACATGGTACACAGTGTTGTGGGACATTCGTTTCAAATGCCTGGATGCGGTACGCTCGCCATTTTCATGATGTTGTATTGTTTCCAGTGTGCTACATATCATTTTTACTTATTAAATATAATTTCTTCGATCTCAAAAATGTTGAATAAGGAGGATATTTAATTTTTTCATTTAGCAGGACACTAACGTTGGCTGTTTTGAGATTCTTCGTAACAAGGTGATAACGATAATTACTTGCAATTACCACATATTGAAGTCCGAAAGTCAATTTGGAGTTGAAGTGGTTACAGTGATTCCGTATTTAAGTTTTCGCCATGGCAATTAGTCACCGTTAGAAACACGTGAATCTGAAAAATTACGGTTTATTCACATACAGTAGCGATCGTTTATAAGATTTTATCATGAAGAATAATTATCATTATGGTACAAGATAAGTCTTACTGAATTTCTTGCCACTGGTTGGTGTCCGCACTACTCGTAGTACATAGTCGTGCTCGCCATAATCTACTCATCACTGTAGTACTAGAATGTAAATGTCGTTCCCTGAACAAAATTACGTGAAATTATAAATAAGGATCTGGTGGGTGAATTCCAGTGCCCCAGTTCAAATTTCTGGAATCATTCCCCAGCATATCAACTGACCGTAAGTTGTCAAAATGAGTGGTTTTTGGAGGAAAAAGATAACGACATGTAGGTTAGTTTGGTGATATTCTTTACGTTAGTAAATGACTTACATGCCGTAGTGAGGCTTCTTTTCCTCGGAGAAAATACATTAGTGGCATATCGTCTTAGATGTATAGTTAGTCGGATATCAAACTACCTTCTAATATTGGTCCTCTTGGTGCAGTGGCACCGTGATTATGGCCATGTTACCAACACGACCATAGCATTGTGATTACTTACATTGTTAATTCTCAGCATGTTCGCCACTTTTTCTCACCATATCTGATGTCAATTCTTTGGATGCTTAGTATTAGGACCGTGAAATCGTTATAAGGACTGCTTCTTTACTGTACGTGTTCTTTCGAGCGGCGAACACAAAACAACTTATTCTTTTGAGGTGTTACGATTTGGGGGTCATATTCTATCTTTACGAACCAGTTGTTTTGTGACATACCAGGATATCTAGCTTTTGTATATTTCTATAAGTTTTTCTGTTCCACATAACTTTGGTTGTCTGTAATGCACTTATGTAAATACTTCTGTTATCTAATAGTATCCTAATGTTATTTGGGTATAAATTCCGAGTCGATCAAATTGTACGATCACCTGTCTTACTGATAACAGTACTGGGCTCATAAATACTGGTGAATTTATTCTGTCGAAGTCTTTTAAGGTAACTGTGTTAGTGTGTAACTTGGAGACTGCCCCGAAATAAATTTTAAAAAACCCGTCCTACAAGGAAGTTTAAAAGTCGAAGCGATTTGCGCCTACATCAAGTAGGCCCATGGTTATGAAGCCTTCAGTTATAGAGTGACAAATTGATTGCTGTTTGTCCTCTATAACCTTTGTGGGATCCAGTTACGATTATTGGTTGATTAGGACTGAGTTACTCGGTACCCAATCATTGACCACACAGTGTGAGGACCGATCATGCTACCGAGGTTGATGCAGGTGAAGCAGATTTCAGACCAGAAGTCCATTGGTTGAGTGCGTAATCTGATAATCCACAACACAACTACTCTTAGTCATATTTAGCGTAGAACTGCTCAGTATTGCTAGTTTAAAGAAGCCTGATTGAAACTAGTGAAACTGAGAAACCCAAGAAGGTTGAATACTTCTATGAATAAGCCGTAGTAACATTTCTACTTATACTAATAACTATTAAAATTGAATTTCAAACCTGTCCAGATGTTGTGTGACAAGTATGAGTCGAGTCATTAGTCAGTCTTTCCAATCTGCTTCGGAGTTTGACAGAAAGGAAAAGATCTAGGAATCCAGTGATTGAGAGACTATAAACATCAGAAACCCTACCGTTTTGGCAAAGACTGTTGCCGAACGTTGTTTCTAACCTATTTTCCACTCAATGTCAATCCATATTCCAACCACCAATTTCCAATAGGACATCAATAGTGGATATTTAGAACTGAAGTTTGCATGGGTCAACGTCTTATACTTCAAGTGTGTGCTTCATAAAAGCCTATCCCATGGAAATGGCTCCGTCGACTTTGAAAGTAATCAAGCCAGCTAATGCTTTTTATATCTGAAAATTAGTATTGGCAATTATATGGGCCGAGTAAATGGCCGCATTTAGATTAGTCATTTAGCTCTGTCTGTCTAGAGGTGCAATGACAATGTTTTGCTGTCAAGAGTACCAATAAAGTATATTAAACTGTTCGAACTCCTGCAGTCATTTAAAGGGTTATGGGAATCTGTAGTGACAACAGTGAGCTTTGCTTGAAATACTCAGTGCCACTAATCCTATGTCTTACAAATGTGCTGATTAGTGTTTATGTGTGACTACTACATCTAAGGATTTGACTTCATACTAGGATATCTCACGAGTGTAGAGTGCTTAAACGATATACTCCTTTCTATGTGAACACGATGACAAACATGTTAAACGAAAGTCTGGGAATGTTTAGTGTGTACGTTCAGCTGTCTGTTGAAAGGGCATATTCTGCACAACAGCTTGTTTTATGATATTTCCCAAATGTGAACTCTTAAATCTCACATGCCTTTGTTTACTTGTTTGTGTCAGGTGGATGTCTATGGTTAATAATAACAGTGAGGGTTATAGACATAAGTTCAAGTTCAGTCTTTTTATTGGTACATCGCATAACCGTGTTCTACCGCTAAATGTTGCAGTCCACTCTCAATCGGGAATATAATCGGTTATTGTAGACAGCCTTAACTTCATTTCAGAGGCTTTGGTAACTTTTTCCTCTGTGAATTACTCAACATGCAGCGTTGTCGTATAGCTGTTGAATTTCGTGGCACTAAGTAGTCTTGAAGCAACTTCCATATTACCTCATGATCGACACAGTCGAACGCCTTTTTGGAGTCGATGAAGTTAAGGTAGAGAGTTGACTGCCAATCTATACTCTGTCCGATTATGTGTAGCGTTGCGACTTCATCGATGTATAATCTGCCCTTGAATCCAGCTTGTTTTGAACCCCAAGCATCTTTTAGTCTCTTCGTGATGACTGGACTCTATATTTTGTTTGCGGCGGACAGGCGCATGATTCTGTACCAGTTTTCGTAAACACTTAGATCGCGCTTCTTTGGTAGCTTGTCAAGGTAGCCTTTATTCTAGTCAGTAGGTACCTTTCCTCCTGCAGGAGTGGCGTGAGAATATCCACTAAGGTTTGTGGTTCCACTTTCAATGCTTCTGGTCCTGTTGCCCTCTTGGCTTTCATTAACTTTATGGCATTCTGTTTTGTTCTGTCTGTCTGTCTGGATTCAACATAGAACTTGGCACCGAAGTGCAGCAGTTCGAGTTTCCACGTTCCAAATAGCACACAAAGGTAGACAGGAAAATGAGTGAAGAGAATCAATAGAGTTTTGATAAGTATAAGAGTGAAACAGAATGAGTAATGGTAGAAAGGAATATGAAAGATTACAGAGACTGAATACATCTGCGTAAGCCATTGACAACGATTTTGAGCCATGTCACCTATTGTCTCCAGCCATTGATTCCTAGAGTCCCGAGGGCCCCAACCCGGAAGTCTGCATCTCCCTACCTGACTCAGTTTAACTGTCAGGGATTTCATGGATTGATGAGGCCATGTTTTTGTTTGGCCACCACTTACTCTTTTCCAATCTGCACCTATATCAGCTAGTAATGCCCGTCGGTGGGGGAGGCGATGGTTAGGCATGCGCTGTTGGAGGTTAGGCTGTTTTGTTGGAGGATTGCTGTTCACTTGCAGTTCTGTGGCTGCTGGTGGTATTTCCGGACGAGTTGTAGGTAGTGATCTGTTCGAATCCTTTAAAGTGATTAGTCCACTCTTTCCTTTGCTTCTCTTTGGTCGTCTGTTGCCCGATTAAAGTTCTTTGGTTGCTGAATATCAGTGGTTGGGAACTCAAGGCAAAATGAACCAAAGCTATTCATAGGGGTTTATATGTATTCATTCATTATTTTCCAAATTGTGAAAATCGGTGATATTTAATCGTCTTTCATAACTTTGTAGATTGTAATATCGTTAACGTTGTGCTTTTTGATGTAGGTAACTGGAATTAATGTACTAATGTTTGGGGTTCTGTATGGATTTTTCATGGAGTCATCTCAGGAACTTTATGCGATACTACATATCGCACTGTCACAACTGTTGCGGTCGGGACGTGTCCATTGGTATTTGATATGAAACATACAAATTCAAAGCACCGTTATCTAGTTTAGAAGGCAACTTCAGGAGACCACATGCGACCCATTAATTAGTATGCATCTTAGAAGATGAATTAAAAGATCCTGTAGATCCGTTAGCATAGAAAGCTAACACCTTAAAAAGTAATTGAGGTAACCAAACGGTACAGACGTGTATATAAACCTTTGACTCTTCATAACTGATTTGATAGTGGGCTTCTTGTCTCACCAGAAAGCAGAAGAGGAGTAGTTTCGTAGCTGTGTAATGTGGGTTTGCCTGGACATTAATGTTTTGCGGTTGGTTCTTTTTAACTGGAGATGACCAGAAAGCAGAGAAAACACCTAACTTGTGTGCCTTCCCACAAAAGCACCTTGTCGTCAGTGATGCAATCGTAACTGTTTTTGATAGCCTCCATCCCACTGGCGTAGTTTGACCACAAACATTCGTCTTATTCTGTATATCTGGTGCGTTTAGTGAAATATCCTATCACCACAGGTGGTGGTTGCCAAATGGAAGATGATGCTGTATCATCGGTCCCCGCAGACTCCCATTCTAAAGATATGGAGTATCGGTCCTGATGAACTGTTTACTGGCGAAATCTCAGGACAGATTCAAAGGGATTATATGGTACTTGTTAACTTGTCATCTCTGTTATAGACATGGTATCTGGTTATCGTTCAAAGGATGTGTATACCACGCAGCAGTTTGCTCTGTCCCTTTTTAATGTTCATTGAAAGTGAGGGAATTAAAGAACCTAGCTGTCTCTGACCATAAATATTTTCATTCTTTTTCCACATGTTGAATGGTATTATATGGTGAGTAATATTGATGTTCGGTTTAGTGTTAGGCAAGAGATTGTATTGATTGAGATGACTAAGAAATGCGTCATTTGTATAGACTTTCTGCTTATACTCTTCAAGACACTGAGAATCAGTGTCTGGAGACTGTTAGTTTTTGGATATGGGTCAAAATTGTTCTCTATTGCAGATGCCTTCACTCTTTTTAGTCTTCAATATCCATCAAATTCTCATTTTTCTCCACACTTGTTCTTTCTACGTCGAACTATATATCCTTGACATTTATTTGCTTTATAAGGTATGACGACTTGAAATGATGCACTTTTTTTGCAAGTCCTACATTAAAACGTCAGTCAGTCATGGGAGGGGGGCGCGGCTTGTAGTCGGGTTGGCAGCAACTGGCCACAATACCTGGTGAATGGCTACAAATGGTTCATATATATATATATATATATATATATATATATATATATATATGCAAACCATATGCAAACTCATGGCTTCTTTATGATGTTTGTAGTTACCAGAATATGAATCATTTCGATGAATGCTCTCTTCAGCAGTCGCATCCATCTCAGTTTCAGGTGACCTGTAAGACATTATTTTTGGGAATTGTTTCACTTCCACAGCTCTTAATCATTCAACGATGTAAGACCGTCAGCTTCGTATTAGTCGTAACCCATAGTTTGAATTGACATCCTTGTGGTGTGGCTTATCATTTTAAGTATTTGAATCCTAGACAGTGAATCACATATTTGAATCCCATCCCATTTTGGTTAGAGTAAGTGGGATGCTGAGCGAGGTTATACCGAATTTTCTAGAGTTGTACTTGTATGTATGGTGTCCATCAAGACCTAATGCCATCTGTTACCTTCATGACATCGTGACGCATTTATAATGTTTTATAACAGGTACACTAAATGTACTTTCGCAAAAATACAACAACGGAATGGTTGTTACTCTGCCGAGTATTAAAATTAGAAATGTATATACTTATAAGGTGTTGGATATTTTGCATGGTAATTCACGCACTATTTACCTTTTGAAGCTTCATCTATCAATCCTCAGTTATTATTTGAATATCTGATTGATTGCACATTAATTATTTCAAAGTTAATTCTTGTGTATCGAAGTGTTGTCTCAATCCATTTTTCTTCTAGATGAATGGTGAGGAAATACCAGCTAGGTGTCTTGGAGAAACAGGAGCTCTTAGTTTCAAGAAACCAACAGAACAAGATATAAAAGATACACAAGAACTTGAAGCTAGCCTTGCACAACTCAATATTTTTGAAACACCTGAAGAGATATCACAACGACGTGAAGCTCTTGTTCAATTACAAGAGATATCCAATGCTTGGATTCGTAAAAAAGCACTTGAGCAAAATCTTCCTCCACATGTTGCCAATTCTACAACGGGAAAAATTTTCACTTTCGGTTCATATCGTTTAGGTGTCAATTTCAAAGGTGCAGATATTGATTCCTTACTGGTTGTCCCGCGGTTTATAACACGCGAGGAATTTTTTAGTGATTTCCTGAGTGTATTAGAAGAAAATTCTAATGTAGAAGATTTGCACGCTGTAGTAGGCGCCTTTGTTCCACTACTTAAGATGAAATTTATGGGAGTTGAAGTAAGTATCATATTATTAGACAGTGTTTAAAATATATTTTTTTATAGATTGACCTTCTGTTTGCACAAATTGATCAAATGTCTATACCAGAAAACTTCAATCTATGCGAAAACACTGAAGTATTAATGCGTAATATGGATGAACGAGATGTACGCAGTATTAATGGTGTTCGTGTAACCGAAGATATTCTCAATCTTGTCTATAATAAAAATTCTTTCAAAGTAGCACTCAAGGTAAGTGAGTCTGACGACCAATTTTTTTTGGTTAAATATCATATATAAGCTCATTTTTAATTATTTCAAGGATTCTCGTTAACTAGCTACAGTTTGAACAATACGAAAATGTAAATTACGTTAAAGATTTGTACATACCTTTTCCACGATGACCAGGAGTAATTGTTGATAGGAACTAAGAGTAACACATTAGTCAGAAATGATGTAAGTTGTGAGAAAAAAGAGACCTGGAGGGTGATCTACCTGAACTTCAAAAGCTTCTACCCTATATGTAACAAAGAGGAACTGATGAGAAAACTGTTTGATAGTGTAAAGAAGCTTTGCTCAGAAGAATAGGTGGACGAAGAGCTATCCATTGTGGAAAAATGCCTGCGTGACAGTGGTTACCCGCTGAAGCTCATCGACAAACATGGAGAATGCAGTGTTGACGAAGGGATTTACAGCACAATAGAGAAAAAATCCATCTTTCGACAACTTGCTTTCGGAGGTAATGATACCCCCCGTAGAATAAGATGTAGACCGAACGCTACCCTGAAAAGAACATATCCGGCCTCCAAGCGTGTATGTGTTTACCAAACGACCACTTGTTGAAGACAATCAAAAATGGACAAACTCCCACTTCATGTTACCTCCAGCTTTGTCTACCAATTTACATGTACATGGCAAAGCACATGCACTGGAAGAACAGGAGAGAAGGGTTATTTTCCGCGTTTCTGAACACATACACACAAAGAACCTGAGACTAAAGAGTTCACAAGCATTAAGCAGTGCTATTGCGCGCCATCTATTGGAGACTGGCCATGTTGTGAACAACTTAATGGCGTTCAAAATAACCAACAGACAAAAGATATCTAGCTTGCTACGTTTTTCTAAAACCAAATATATGCACACAGAAAGAGACATTGGGGAATATCACACTGCCTTGGTGATAACAAAGTATCCAAATTTTACTACATCTTCTGACCTGTTTAGAAAACTTTATTTTTCGTCTAAATATAGCTCACTCTAACTCCCCCCTTCCTTTTCGGCTATTTTTATAAAAGCATGTTTTCTGTGGTTAAGTAGCTTATTATTTGTTATATTCTTTCTAGTTTAACTTTGTTTCTACTCATATTATTATTATTGTTCCCTTGGGTTCCTAGTGGAACATAGGGCTTCAACTACACGTCTTCACTTGTTTCTGTTTTCTGCTGTACTTTTCACCTGCATCCATGTTAGTCCATACTGTTTCAACTCCTCTTCACACCATCTCCTCCATGTCACCCTTGGACGTCCCACTCACCGCTTCCCTTTCAGGTTCCACTCGAGCACTGGCCTGACGCGCAATGTCATCCAGCGGTCTCCTCAGCAAGTGTCCAATCCATCTCCACTTTCTCCTGCATATTTGTTGAGCGATTGGTTCTTGTTTCGTTTGTTCCCATAGTTTCTTGTTTGTGATTCTTTCCGGCCATCTGATCTTCAGTATAGAGCGAAGACAACTGTTGTTGATAAAGGTTTGCAACAGGCTGTTGGAAATATTCTTTGTGACCCGCCAAGTTTCTCATCCGTATAGAAGAACTGACTGACTTGACGTTTGTATTGAAAATCCTAATTTTGTTGTTGATGCAGGCTGAGTGACGAAGATTTCCAGATTGGTTTCAGGTTGATGAATGTGTTTCTCGCCTTCCCGATTCTCGATTTGACATCGTCGTCCGTTCCTCGTGTAATTGAGACAATGCTTCCTAGATAAGTGAATGAAGTAACCTATTTCAAATCCCTCCCGTTGATGGTGATTGGCGCTGGATGTTACTGCTGCTGTTGTTGTTCGTTGGTTATTTTCATAACCTCCGTCTTGTCTATGTTCACCTGGAGTCCTGTCTTCTCTGGCTGCTTCTTCGACCAGTTTGTTGGTTTTCGCTTGTAAGTCTTCGATTTTGTGTGACATCAAACATAAATCATCCGTGAAATCCAGGTCTTCTAGATTCTTCACGTCGGTCCAGGATATCCCTGTCTTCTCGTTTCCCACTGTTTGACGCATAATCCAGTCCAGTTCACCACAATGAGAAATATCATTGGTGATAATAAGCACCCTTGTCTGACTCCTGTATTTACTCCAAACACCTCGCTGAGTTTTCCGTTGTGGATCACTTGACATGTGCCGTTGTCATACAGCTGTTGAATAAGGTTGATGAATATTTGGGGTACGCCGTAGTACTCGAGTAGTTTCCAAATTACTTCGCGGTCAACGCTGTCGAAGGCCCATAAAAATCTTTTAAACTCTGTCGTTTTGTTTCCAAGCGTCTAATTTTTCTATATATATATGATCATCCCTTTTCACTCTTAATTATTTAACAACTTACATCTTTGTTGACTAATGTGTCACTCTTAGTTCCTATCACCGATTACTTCTGGTCATCGTGGAAAAGGTATGTACAAATCTTTAATGTAATTTATACGTTTTGCATTGTTCAGATTGTAGCCAGTTGAGAAGAAGAATCCTTGAAGTAATTAAGAATTGAGCTCATATTATCCTGGTACATTTTTTTGTCATCCTTGCCTTATTTAAATGATATATTTCTGTCATTCTTTTTTTTTTTTAAAGGTTATCCGAATCTGGGCGAAACGTAGAAATGTATATTCCAATGCATTGGGTTTCCTTGGCGGTGTATCATGGGCAATTCTAGTTTCTCGAATCTGTCAACTGTATCCCTATGCAACACCATCTATGATTGTTTATTTATTTTTCAAAATATTCAGTCAATGGCCTTGGCCAAAACCTGTCAGACTAAGAGAGTCTGAATATATTGCTAGTTTATGCTTGCCTGTTTGGGATCCAAGGGTTAGTTGTTTATGCATATATCGCTCATATGTTTTCCAGATATATATATGTATCTATGTGTATACCTTTTGAGTTTTGAGTTATTTTACTTTGAAAAATCAGGTGATTTCTACGGAGAAATATGTGTCTTACAAGAAACTGCTTATAGATGATGGGATTTATTGGCTTAAGTACCTGACTTTCAGTTAATGCGTCCCGAGCTGGAATCCCGTCAGCTCCGCCTACTTCAACCTGCCTGTGTGTATGTGTGTGATTCATAGCCTGATGCACAAAAAATCTGCTCTTGTGGTAATTAAGTTCTAACAATAGTAAGCGTTCAGTGTTATAGTCTCTCATGATTCGTTGTGTGATTGTTCGTGCCAAGATCGAAGCGGTTAGTTATCTCAAGTTGTCTCATCCTCCTGAGCCTTTGACCTGAAATCTCATCCACAAAGCAGTGCAGTGATGTCAGGAGCTGTGTACACACACGGTTTTCGGTTATCAAAACAGATCATGCGCTCTTCGGTCCTTTCGGATTCTGTAGACCATTTACACCATAAAAGGTTTGGAATCAGTGTAGATCAGCATCTCCACCACTTAGGCTGTAAGCACTGTTGTATGTTCGAATCCACCCTTCCTTGCATTTTCGTGAGGAACAGCTATCGTCGTGTGAAAGCTGTGGATGGGATTTACCTGGCAGAGACTATGAGCACTTGGCCATATAGGAGTATTTTGAGCATTTCCAGTGACAACACTAACAACAAATTGAAAAAATATTGGAATATATTCCAATCTTCGTATGCTCTGTTACTGTTGTGTTTTGCTTGATTGGTTTTTTTTTGTTTTCACTTTTTTGAGTTCTGAGTATAGCATTCATTGGATTTCAAGCTTTGAGCTTTGAAGTCTCAATAGTTGGCGGCTGCGGTGGTGTTGGCTGTTTTTTTATTTTTACGACGTGTGGTTGCAAGCCTCACATATCCAACCTACCTCTGTCTGTCTTCTGAACTTACTATCAGTAACTTACTTACTTTACTTTACTTCGGCTATCTCCTACGGGAGGATGAGCCGGCTTCATGAACATCTCGAATCATCGCTGCCCAGGCGCGGCGATCTGATGCAAGGTTTTGCGACAGGGTTATCCAATTCTTGTTCCACAGACGGAGTCCGTAGACGGTTTGTAGCCCCAGGCACTGCATATCAGCCTTGACTGTACCAAGCCATGTTTTCAGCTGTCCACCCCTGCGACATCGCCAAGATGGTAATGGCGAGGGATTTAGAACTGATTTGACCAGATCGTCATCTGGTCGGCGCAGAACATGGCCAAACCACCGAAGGCGACGTTGTTGGACCAGTACTGGAATTTGGTTGATGTTGTAGCAACGACGACGCACTTCTTCGTTGGAGAGTTTGTCCTGCCAACGAACATGCAGAATGTACCTGAGGCACCAATGGTCTACTACCTCGAGTCTGCGTACATCTTCCGCGCGACTTACTTTTCACACTGGCCACCGGGTGAGCACAGGGCGCGTCGCTTACCGGGAACGCCGTAGCATGGTGAGAGTCGTTTGTAAGAGAGTTCATGAAGTTTCATGGGAATTTGGTACGAGTGATGTCCCCAGAATCCCTCGGCCTTTTGTTTGAGAGTGCAGCTCTAGCCTTGTGACCTACAAGGCAGTAGGAGTGGAGTAGGGAGTCCACTATCCATTGGCAGCCGGTGACCGGAGTTCGGTTCATACGCCTATCAGTAAGTAAACTAGAGTGCGACGAGGGAGGTTTAAGATTGTGCCAGCCGCAAACTTCACCTGCATGGTTGGCTATCTGGTGCTTGTCACACTGAACCTGATAAAAGCCTGATGCTTGACTACTGATTGCTCGTCCATACTTCAATCATACTACAATCATATAATAATCTCTTATGTTATTGTTTATTGTCAATTTTTAACAAGGTTTTCCCTTCACTCTCTTTATTTCCCCCCCCCCCCCACCCCAACTATTTATTCATATCTTAGTTAAATCCACCAGATCAGTATCATCTGATGCCTATACTGACGCCTAGTTATCCTTCACAAAATTCAACATACAATGTACAACGCAGTAATCGTATTATTATTGAAAGAGAATTAAAACATGGTAGGTTCATTTTTTATTGTTGTTGTTGGTGTTGTGTGAATAATCTTTGTATACAGCTTAACTACCTATCATTCAATATATATATGCATATAATTGATGTAATGATCGTCTTATAGGTTGAGTAGATAATTGCTTTTATAGAATTTAAAGGGTTATAAATGACTCTGTGAAGTACCTGTTAGTAGTAGTAGCAGCAGCAGAATAACTGGTTTTTTGTTGTTGTCGTTTTTTTTTTCAAAGAAATGACGAGTGCAGAACGGATTCTACTGTAAATCAATCAACTAATCCATTCATCTAAAGGTTTAGATTGATTGGTTTCTGTTGTTAGCTTAGAAGCTTTATGTGTAACACGTTCAATTAAAAGAGAAAATGAAATAACCTAGAAGTAATAATAGTATTATAGAACTGATGCTCATAAGATAGATTTAATACCCCGATACATAACAAAATCTACGCTTTAAAGTTAATTCAATCCTCAGAATCACCAAATTATTGTGAATATAGGACAGACACTTCACCGCTCGCTCGCTGGATGATGGATGGTTGGAGGCCAAGCGGTAGGAAGTCTTGAACGCCCCCCCCCCCCCCTCCTAGGTTTCATTACTTATCAGCAAGGTGTATCTGCCATCTCAAAGGAACTGATTGATGCCTTGATGACATAAGGGCCAACAAGTACGAAGCCTAGGTCATGCAGGGCTTTTTGCCTATTGCCTCCAACCATCTACTAACAACAATTCACAGTGCTTGGTGGCCACATTGCGTTAACTTGACTGATAAAGTTCAATCTGCACCAACATTAAGGATTAGATTCATGACACCAGGGTCTCCAACCAAAGTACTTCACAGTTCATGATGTAATTAAGTTAATAATAAGTCAGTCTTGCATTGACTCTTGTACTTCAGTGTGGTACAGAACACACTATCATAACGAGAACCATGCATACAACGTATAGTCAGTATCTGTTGCTGTTCACTGGTAATCATTTCCCACTGAATTTTTTTTTTTATTCCTTTGCGTTCCGGGTGGAACAAAGGACTTCTTTAAGCTACAGCTCTGAAATTCGGGTAGTAATAGTTCCCTTTTTATATAGGGTGGAGTTGCTAGCCTCACGTCCAACCTTCCTTCTTTATCGGCCTTACTATAGCAGCTTAGTGAGGTTTAGGAATGCGTCGGTCGGAGATCGAACCCTGGACCAAGTGTAGCGTAGTTGACAAGCATTCTACCGCTGAACCATTGATAGATAAACTTAAGTAACACAATAGGAAGAGCTTTTACTGGGGCTGGGGTGGCGTGGATATGATAAATTCATTTTATTGTTTCATAAGGTTTTCGTCATCTGCATATAATCTGAGTAATAATGATAAATTACATGAGTAGTCGACCAGTTGCGTCGGTGGCATAGCGGTTAGGACGCTCGCCAACCATGCATATGGTCTGGGGTTCGATCCCCGGCCGGCGCACTCCTTTACCTCGGTAAGCCAGTAATAAGACTGGTAAAGAGGAAAGGTTGGGCATGAGGGGCTAGCGACCCCATCCTGTAAAATAAACACTGCTACAGAAACTTTAGGTCTCTAGCTTGAAGCCCTATGTTGTTCCACTGGGAACGTGAAGGAATAAAAAAAAATCAATCAGTGTGGCATAATTTAGACACATTCCTTTAATTGAACCGACCAGTTCATGACTTCATAAGAGTCAAGGTGGAAATTATCCATGAAATTGGAATGATCAATCATGACATCATGAAAATCACATAAAATTTCGATGAGTAGCTACGATAAAACATTCAGTACTTACCAAGGTAAGATAATTAGTCTTCGGACAAACAATGCAGGCTTCATCCTTCGAATGATGACAGCTTCAGCAATGTCAAGTATCTGTCGTCACCAACTTGAAAGACTCTGATGTGTCGATCTAATGCTCTGTATCACAGCCAGGTACAAAACTATGTGATTATTGTCTAAGGAAAGATGTGGACTGTTGGGCACGTGTTCAACAATCTCTGTTCTTCCTACCACACATACTTGTCTTTGCATAAACCCAATTGGAGTTGACCAACGTCAGAAATTCATCTAGTTAAGATTCTTTATACAGAGAGACACCAGCGTTTTGACGACTGGCTGGATACATCCTCGATATATTGCATCGTTTAGATTATTCGTCTGACAAATCTGTTGCTGTATGTATGCCCTTTCATTCATCGATGGTGTTCAGTTTCAGTCTCTTTGCAATAAAAGTCACTATCTCCTCTATATATGTATGAAAATCTTTTTTTTCTTTCTCTTCTTTCAAAACTAGGTTTAAACATTGTTAGAGAATCAATGATGCATAAACGTTCTTGGTCTGATTTATTCGAAGCAGCGTTTTTCTTTCAATATAGACATTATGTTGTTGTCATTGTTGTTGGAAATATTAAGCACACATTCATTGAATTATGCGGTCTAGTTGAATCTAGACTACGTGTACTTGTCAGTAATTTCGAGTTGAATCGTTATGTTAAAATGGCACATGTAAATTGTCGTGCTTACGGTAAAGGACCTAATGATGGTGATGCTAATTTTGTACGTAAATGGTTTATTGGCATGGAATTTGATCGACATACTAGTTCCTTAACGAGTACAGTGCATAATAATAATAATAATAGTAATAATAATTCAAATAATTCATCAACTGATAAACCAACTCTAAATGTCGACTTAAGTGAGAATATTAGCTCATTTGAAAAATCAATTGAACGTGGTCTATCCAGTGAAGATTTATCTGTTTCTGTTAAATATGTTAAAAAGTGAGTTAAATTATTTGTTAAAAATAAGAGAATTTCACCGCATTTTTAACTATTGGGGTTAGTTTTTCTTTGACTTATGTAATTTTGCAAAAACAGATCTTTAGTACTGACCGATTCAAGTTCTAATCGCTGAGAGTACATTTATTATCATTAATCATTCCTTGCGTTTTACTGACTCCAAAACTGTGACTACAAGCTTGCATTTCGTTTCTATTATGATCTTCTGTATGTCACCCTATGTGGGTTACCCGACCTCTCGCTTCTGATTCAGGTTCCACCCGGGAGTTCGTCGTGTCTTTGATCATAGGTGCCTGCGTTCTATCTCCCGTGTGTGAGCAATATTGAGGTTAGGCATCGGTCGAGTGCTAGGTAAGGAGGGGAAATCAATCGACGAGACTGTGAAGCTACATCGACTGAGATGATCTAGACAAGTGTTACGTATGTCTAGTCATCCCCTTCCTCAACGGGCAACGTTAGCTGACATAGGGTCAGGCTGGAAAAGAGCTAGCCAGCGGCGGTCAAACCAAAACATGGCAGCAGTCAATGAAATCCACAACACTTAGTTTAAGCCAACCATGTAAGAGGTTGTAGACTTCCTGACTAGTTGGGGTCGTCGGGACGGTAAACACCAATGAAGGCTGGAGACAATTGGTGATAAGGCTCAAAATCGTTCTCAGTGATGGCTGGCGCAGATGCATCCACTCCTTGTGACTTGTAATTTCCAATAAAACTATATTGTTCTCCGTTATTACTACCCTGTTGTCTCATATCCCTGTCTGCAGTCTCTGTTTTGCATTTCTTCCACTTTCTTCTCTTACTGTGTGTGGTACATGGAGGGAATGTGGCGACTTGAACTGCTGCACATCGGTCCAAAGTTCTATGTCGAAAACAGACAGACATCGTCGTGTATGTTGTCACTCGGAGAGGTGTCTTCTCAGTCTGTATGCTTTATCTACCTCCATTTCCTTTCACATTTTTTTCTAGGTGATAAGCTGTTGGTTAGTTCACTGCCATGTATGTAGATTCCTTATTGTTTATCTTTTCGAGAGGGTGGCAGGTATTCATGCTAATCTGCAGTAGTCGAATTGAAAATACTTTTGATGATGCGTGCGCCAAGTTTCAGAATCATCATAGAAGCACTCTGACTTGTACTAAATACCTGTTTGTCACTTATTCGACTGCCGGCTAGTAAGCAATGTAGTGTAATCTTATCCCGAGTACTGATCTGAATTTTTCTATCCAGTGTGCAGTGTGGTTATTTACCTAGTTAAAAGATTTGCAAAGTATTATTTAAGTGCTTTATTTTATTAGACAATCAGTAGGAAGCCCTAAAAAGTAATTTCCTCGTCTACTGGTAGTATCGTGCTTGCGTGTATCATAACAAGAGTTGTTTACCGGTTGATTTTTTGAAATCTTGTGTCTCAATCCTGTAGTGACTTTATCACTAAGCAGTAAGCTAAGTCTAATGCATTCCTCTGTGTCACCTATCCTTGGGTGCCTAACTCGTCGCTTGCTTCCCCGGTGGAGTTCCACCTGACGATATGCCTTACTCATGATATCACTCAACGGCCTTCTCAGCGTATGTCCAGTTCATCCTTATCCCTTCTGCATATTTGTTGCATCAGTAGATTTTGAGCCAGTTCTCTATCAAACTTCGTTGTTACTACTAATCCTCTCTGGTTTTCTGATATTTAGTATGCAGCGAAATAAGCAGCTATTGATGAAAGTCTCCGGTAGCCTGTCGGAAATGTTTTTCGTGATGTGCTCACCAAAACTCTGTGTTCACAATCTCTCCTTTCCGTAGTCCGAAGTGTATTGAACTTCATATTCTGTATATGGGAAAGTAATCCCCCAACTTGAAATCAATTTCCTTGAATAGCAGTAATCATATGTCAATCATATGTATCTCTCCAAAGTTTGTAGAAATTCAAAAACATTCCAGAATAACTACTATTATCATTATTATTTGTTCCAAGTGGAAAATAGGGCTTCAGTGGCACATCTCCATTGTATTCTGTTCTGTGTTACCATTTTAATCTGGCTCCTTGATTGGCTACAAGATTGCATTTCCCCGCCACATTGATCTCCTCTATGTCACCCTAGAACTCCCATCTTGTTCCTTTGAATATATATATATATATATATATATATAGTTGCAGTGAAATGATGATCTGGTTAGCAGTTGTGCCTTCTAGTTCAGCTACGGTAGCGTCTCTGCACATTCGGTCGTCACTGTCTCCTTAAAATTGCTTGCGTCCGATAGCATCTTCGCGTGATTAGTTAGTTCTGAGGTTTGGCAACGTGTGTCTGGACACGGTGTGGAGATCATCATTCATGGAATGTTCTCATCTGGGAATACCAGCTTCGGTGGTATATGCGCTGCGAATATCACCTCAGAGTTTCCCGTACCAGTCTCCGTTCGCTAGCCCTGGGACTGGATAGAAAAGCTGAAAGATGATGGTCAGCCTACAAAGTAACATCGTGGGATGAAGGATATTTGTGTTAGGTTATAGCCATCAGTTGGTACGTCACGACTCCCTGATTGTATGGCCCGAGGAGTAGTTCTAATCGGTGGAACATAAACATTAGCAAACATGACTAAGAATTGCAATCAGTGGTGAACATGAGGCCATTTCTTCCTTTCTTCTCTTTCCTAGAATAACATGAAGTCATGAATGTCCAATGATCTTGACAAATATGCTTTTTATTTCTTTCTGGATGGCGTCCGTCATTCATTGTATTCCTGTTTTGTTCATATATTGTTATATTAGTTTTGTGTGGCGCATCTTTTGGTGCCCATAATGTACCAAGTTTGTGTTTATAATAATAATAGTAACTAGAGCACCGGACCAAAAATTACTGCGGGTGTGTGTGCTGGTTTGTACTCACCCAGATGTTCATTTCACCTTCACTTATCACCTGTACATCATATATATACATGTTGCTAGGTTATTTACACCCACTAGAATAAGTGTGCCCAAATACTAATTCACTCGTAATCCTTCGTCTTTTGTGCGTCGGTGGCACAGTGGTTAGGACTCTCGCCGACTATGAACATGGTCCGGGGTTCGATCCCCTGCCGACGCACACCCGATATCTATGGTCGGCCTGCGAAATTGGGGCTACCGATATCCATGCTGAAAATGCCATACTTGTACTGAAAATACGGTGTGGCATCAAGCTGTAATCAAAAATTTAAAAAAATTAAAATTAACAACATGACTTATAACCTCACTCATGTGTAATATTAATATATGCTGAAGAGTCTCAAACCAGGGCGAAACAGTTGTCCGCTACTTCCAGCTGGTTTTCCAATGGTTCCCTAACCGATGTCAGCTTATGATGAAGTCCTATAACCAATCAATTCAAATCCTTGTTTCATTAATTCCTGCTTTGTTTGAAATCTATCATGGTGGTTTTCAAAACTTTTTTAAATTGTATCAAGTGTAATGATGATGTGCAAGCGTAGCTTATATTCTTAAAAGTTTTGCCTTATTTCCTTACAATTATTATTGTAGATCACAATTGGTTCACTTTATTTCCCCGGAAGACATGGAAGAAATTAAACGTCAAGCAGCGGCTGCTGCTGTATCAAATGTAAATAGTTCAGAGAATCTGAAGTCTTTTCGTATGCATACGAATAGTAACAGTAGCAGTAACAATAACAATAGCACATCGAACTCTATGTCCAGTCCAGCAAGTTGTACTGAACTTTCTGCATCGGATGAAGTCTCCTCTCCTTCAAACACTTTACAAACATCTGTCTCCACCAGTTCACTGATGACGAATGCATCTGTTGCTAGAAATTCTATAACAGATGTCAAATGTCCCCCGTGTTCTCCGACGTCTACATGTTCCAGTGTAGGTGATACTGTATTGACTGAGGTTCATGTGAATGAAACAATTGATCCCACCACCACCAACAACAACAATGATGATGATTATGATAATAATGATAATAACAATAATCACAGTCAAGTACGTTTAACCAATGTAATATTTCTACATATCACAAAGAAGGGTTCCTAGACGACTTGCAGACAACCTCTTCTTCAGTTTTATTATTATTTTTTTTATTCCTTTATGTTACCAGTGGAACATAGGGCTTCAGACTTGATCTTTGAAGTTTCAGTAGCAGTGGTGTTGCTAGCCTCTCGACCTTCCTTCTTTACTGGGTTTACTGCCAGTAGCGTAGCGAGGTTATGGACTGTGTCGGCTGGAAATCAAACCCCCGAACGACGTGAGTGCTTGGCGGGTATTCAACTACTGACCCACTGAGCGACTTGTAGGCCATTTATTTGTCAGGTTTTCTTACAGTATCAATTTACTAATAAACAAATCACAACGCGTTGTATGTATATATGACCTAATCCCAAGTGATGTCATTTATGGAGCCGAAACGTTTATTATTATCATCTCGTCAGTAGTAATTCTATGTCTGATACATTTTTTAAAAGAAAAACCTTCACATAGTAGGACCTTGATGAAAGAGTAATCACAATTTGTTTATTAAGACACTTTCCTTAATTTCCCAGTGATTGGTTTTCATTTGAATCGAAATACCCAACAATCTAAGTTATCCTATCGGCTCCTAGTGTGCAGACACCTCGACGATGTTTGTCTGATGTTATATGATTGATGGTAACTAGCAGTAAAATCGAGGATGTGCATTTCGGTGTATTTAGGACTGCTCATCTGGACGCATTTTTGCTTCAGAAAAAGCATTATTATTGCGTGACCGCAGAGCACAGGGAACAACTAGTCGAGGCCAGTCACACACATCACCTGTTTCAAGCGGTTTTGGAGGTGCGTCCTTATTAAGATATCTTACCGCCGGGAAGTACAATTTTTGAAGTTGAACTTTTTCTTACTCCCTTCTCCAGGGTGGAGAGACAGCATAGCTGGCTTGCTAGTCATCTAGGGGAAGTACCTTACTGTTGTTAAGTCCGTATTACCCAGCAGTACAACTTCGCCCACAGGCTCCCAACTATGGTGTCAACTGCTTCTAAACTAACCATACCCAAACGACCTTTCTGGCATTTTAGCACCTGCAGGAACATTAGTTTCAACCGATGGAGCTCATTCGGTCATTGAGAGATATACAAGCCGCGTCAAGATAGCAACCATCGGTCGGGACTCGCATCCCCAATGGGTAGTGTTCCCATTGACACTTGAAAACCCCAGTACCCATCGTTTCAACTACCAACCAAAGGTTTAAAATGGTATATTTGTGTTTGTACGATGTATAAGTGTGAAACTATAACGTGAATATATACCACTTATTCAGTTTGTGAATCATGAATGTGTGTTGTCTACCGGTGAAATGATTTCTACTGCCTTTTTTATATATTTCAGGATCTCAAACAAAATAAGCCGTCATCTTCAAGTCATGTCCCGTGCAATAACATGGTTAAATTAACCGATTCCCCTGGTCGACTTACACCAAAACGTACTGGATCAGTTGACCCAACATCATCTCACGAAACAGCCTCAGATATTGTCTCTTCTGATTGTCATAATAATAATGCTGAAAACATGAATGATTCCGAGGATTTTCGAAAACGTGCACGTATATCATCTGAAGGTCCACGAACTGTTGTCTTCACTTCTTCTGCCCAGTAAAATGATTGTTTGTTTCTGCCGACAAATTGTATACCGGAAAAAAAAATGTATCCTTGTAATTATTTCTGTCCCCGCCCACCACCTAGATATACGCATACACATACACACACACACACGCTCCGTCCATCGTCAAGTGAAACACATAACGTATTCATCTCAGTTAGACATATGTGTCAATTGCTTTAAGTAATCTATACTACTTTCGTTTATTTGTTCAATCGGGATCCAGAGTGAACTTTGACCCCTCTACACATGCGCATTTAGACAAATTCCTCTATCTCTCTATCTGTCTGTCTGTCTGCCTGTCTCCTCTGCAATCTTTTTCTCTATTCCATTCGTATTACTTTGGTAAGTATTATAATTTATTAATATTGTATTTGATTTTCTCTTTGATGTGAATTCTATCGTTATATATATATATATATATATATATATATATATATATATATATATATCCGCCTGAGTGGTAATGATCTCAACAATTAACGTGACTTACTTATATTTACTATTTTCTTTGTTTATATTACACTTCATCAATTCACGTTGATTCCTTTCTATTTGCCACTCACCACTGTCGTTGTCTTGTCTTGTCGTGTGTGTCCATCCCCATAGTTTATATTCACTGGTTATATATAGATATCTTTGTGTTTGAAAACAACACATTCAATCGATACAGATACAGTGCGTCGGTGGCACAGTGGTTAGGACTCTCGCCGACCATGCACATGGTCCGGGGTTCGATCCCCTGCCGACGCACACCCGATATCTATGGTCGGCCTGCAAAATTCGGGCTACCGATATCACATGCTGGAAATTCCATACTTGTACTGAAAATACGGTGTGGCATCAAGCTGTAATCAGAATTAAACTGAAAATACTTGATATATGCTAGATAATGTTAGTCTGACTTCCGGCTGGTGTACTACGTCGTCACTCATGTTAGTTATTCGGGTTATGTTATTCGACACCACTGTAGAGAGAGAAGGAGAGAGAGAGAGAGTAGTAGTATTCAAATCTAACCTGAAATCACAGTCATTCTTCACTTTATCTTTTGACATGGTGATAGTCGAGTTTTTGATTTGATGAATAGTTACTGTTTCAATTTTTAAAAAATACATTTACACATGTCTCGAAATAGGATAGATAGATATATTTTTTTCCTTCACGTTCCCAATGGAACATAGGGCTTCAAGCTAGAGGCTTGAAGTTTCTGTAGCAGGGTGTTTATTTTTACAGGATGGGGTTGCTAGCCATCATGCCTAACCTTTCCTCTTTACCAGCTTTATTTCTGGCTTAGCGAGGTAAAGGAGTGCGTCGGCTGGGGGGCAGGGTCGAACCCCCGACCATGTGCATGGTCGGCGAGAGTCCTAACCGCTATGCCACCGACGCTATTTGGAACGTGGCAACTCGAACTGCTGCACTTCGGTGCCAAGTTCTATGTTGAATCCAGATAGATAGATAGATAAATAGATACATCGTGTTGTTTCAGTGTATAGCTGCCTTGTTTCTCTTTAAGCATATATTATGTTTTGTTTTATGTTTTGGGGTTTCGGGTGTATATTATTAATTGTAATGGTTTCAGATTATTCCAATCTTGCGGTGATGGCGAATTTTGAGGCATATAATGATATTAATGATGATGATGATGATGATGAAATGATGATGAGTGAGGAAGGTCTTCGTGTTCACCTTGTCAGTATATAATTCTAAAAAGCAGAAAAAAAGAGACGACGATTAAGCCAACTGCAACAACACCACCACCACCGCCACCAACATCATCATTCTACTCCCAAAAATTATTCTTCGAAGATAATATTGCCTCCTGTTGTGAATATATCTCTTCTATACTATCATTACATATATGTTGTATAGTTGGATGAAGTTATCTATATGTATACAATATATATATTCAATCAGGCAAGTTTCATGCATTTTTCGCCAAAGGTATGCGTGAATATTATAAACAATAGTAGCTTGTTTTAATCAATTTGGGAATTTTCACTGTCTTCGGTGTTTATTTATCTCTGAATATATAATTTTTCCCCACTTATTATAAGTGTAACCCAATTTGATACTACTGTCAGTTTCTGTTATTCTTGTAGGCTTTTTCAAATGTTGTTGGTTTGCTGCGCAGATTTTAACTGGTTACAGGTTTAATCATGAGCTGACATCAAGAGTTAGAGAATCATTGGAAAACCACCGGAGAGTATCGGCATGGGACTCTTCAACAGTACGCACCCACCTCCGGTTACGAGGAGAGGTCGTAGACCATTAGGCCACCGGGACCCGACCCACTGGTCTATGAATTCCAGATTCTGCCAATTCGTGATATATATTCAGTGCAACCTCTAGTCAGTATCACGGGCGAGTAACTGTCCCCTTGCCTGCCTGACTCAGTAGACCCCACTGGTTACAACTTCTCACAAGGACCGCAGGAAGTTACCTGGGTGGAACCGGCAGTCACTGACATATTAAACATAAACTGTTTGTTATCTACCTTGAAATCAGTTCGATCTTCCGGAACCGGCACTGGAAAAATAATATTTTGCTAACTAGTAACTGTGATTACAGGATAGAGTTCTTCACGAAGCTCTGATTATTGATGAGGCTCCTCGCGATGTCAACGTATGGGGGATAGATAACCGCCAATGAATATTGACCGGCTGTGAATGATGTATATCACTAATTGGTAGAAGTTAGAGTTCATCGGCCAATCATTGGGTTATATTTTAATGGCTGTGAGTGATCAGCGGGCTCGTTTCATGGGTCGATTTCAATCCCCGGTAGAGACACAGGTGCGTAATGTTGAAGAGTTCCCGATTGGGGCGAAGCAGCTGTCTAGTACTCTGTGGTCTTCAGTGGTCCTCTAACTGATGTCAGTTCGTGATCCGACTTGAAAACAATATATATAGTATGTATAACTGGTTCTAACTAATTCAAATCCTGATTTAGACTTAATACAGATTACATATTTCAAAAAAAGCTTTACTTGTGTTTCCTTTGCTATCTTCATGACTATCTTTTGTAGTGAAGCCTCGAAATTTAATCACTTCCCGATCCTTGTGCTTGACATCTAGCGCCATTTCCCCCATCAGACTTGAAGACTTAAGCTACTTTTTTTCCTCATGATTGCGTTTTAATATCTTTTGAACTTTGATATTGTGTCGTAAATGTTCTGTGCCTATTTGACAATAATGAAGAAATAAAGTCAAAGGGAAGTATCATCTTCACATTATGGCTATAATTCCTTACTTGCTTTTTTTTAGGGGAATATAGGGTTTCAGCGGCAATTGAGCATTACACTCTGCTGCTAATACTTCCCATTGGCTCTACAATTGCCTACAAGCTTTTATCTTATCTGCACACGGTCTTTTACACGTCACTCTTGACCGCCCAAGCTGTTGTCCCCCGTTCGGGTTTTATTCTAGATTAGGGCCTGATCTTCAGACTGAACTTCTACATTATAGAAGAGTAATTACACAACTAAATTTTTCTGTTTTATTTTAGTAATGTTTGTTTTTGGTGGGGGAGGCGGGGTAATCAAGAAGACATGTGTGGTATGCTGAGTTCTTGAACTATTGTTTTCATCACTTTTGTGGATATATGATGTATATCTGATCGCCTGTTACTTCTTTATATCTTTATACTACACACACCTATCAAAACTCTTAGTTAAAATTTGGGATGGTGCGAAGAATTTTGTTTTAATTCCTTTCCGGCTTGATCTTTAGACAATTGTCTGTCTAGTTGATAATTTCAAGGTTTTTTATGTGGGGCAGTTTAATGTGGTATAATTCACTTTTCACGGAGGAGAGTAGCCTCCCTCGACGGGCAATGTTAGCCGAAATAGAATTAGGTCGGTCAAACCAAAGGCTGGCATCAATCCATAACATCTTTGACAGTTAGTTTGAGCCACATATGATAGTCTAGTCGGGGCCTGATTGTGGTCTTCAGGATGCCAGGAACCAAACAGCTTCAGACTGTTGGTGGTGATGTGGTCCAAAACTGTTGTGAATAATGCAGCAGATGCATTCACTGTTTGTAATCTGCTAAATCCATTAAACCCTGATGTTTTAAATGTTGCTATTCTCTCTCTTTCCCGTCGTTTTCTTCTCACTATAGTCTTTTTTAGGTTTTCTCTTTCTCTTCTCTACCTTTTTGCGGTGGTACGTAGAGTGTGAAAAATTCGTCTGTTAAAGTTCTGTGCTAAGTTCTCTGTTGAAATTCAGTCAGTCAGTTAGGGTGAGGGTTGTAGTGCATGGGGCCAAAATCTGTACCACTTATTTCGGTCTGTTGTACAAAAACACGTGGTTATTGCATATCGACACTCGATGAAGCTTAAGTCTGTTGGTTGGATTACTTGTAATTCGCTTATATCAATGTGTGGTTTTTAATCATTTTCTAATGAAGTCCCCTTGGTATCGTGTGTGTGTGTGTGTAGCTCGTTCTCGCTATTCAGCGAAATCTTTACCTATCCGATATGTATACTGGACAATGCTGCAAGAGACTTTAGCTTTGATTGTGTATAGATAGTGATAATTAGTCATCTATAATTTTCTATAGTTTGGTTTGTAAGGGTTAGTTATGTTTTTACGAGTTGATCACGGATTGATATCAGTTAGAGAAGCATTGAAAACAGCAGCTGTCCAGTACTCCCTGGTTTTCAATGGTTCTCTAACTGATATCAATCCGTGATCAACTCGTAAAAATATCTGTAATTTAATAATTCCCATTGTAGGCATTAAGAAGACAATATTCAGTGAAGAGACTCTTTTCACCAACGAATTTATTATCAAGCTGTACAATCGTGTATATATGATTTTTTAAGAAATTATATCCGGTGAGAGAATTAGGTCAAAGGTGTGAATACATGAAATAATAATAATATGAAATGCAATTAAAACATTTGTGATTATAATCATAGTTAACTGTCAAGTAGCAAAACAATCAATGTCATATATATATATATAATATATATATATAATAATACATAAGGTGTATAGATGTTGGAAAGGAGTACATAATTATAGGATTAGTAAGCGAATATAAAATGTTACATAACATGGTGTGAAATTTGATAAGATAGAATTCAATATTGTAAAAGAAATGCTTTTTGGATTTAGAATGACAAGTGGGAACAATTCAGAGTGAGGATAGTAATAATAATAATGATAATAATCGTAGTAATGATGGAAAGGTACATTGAATAACTAAATAAATAAATAAATGTTTATCCCTCTACGGCCAAGTCATCTGGTCAGGTAGTTTCATTGAGTAGCTTCTTGTAGACTGAACTCGTGTGTGTGTGTATGTATTAATAGTGTTCTCTGAGCTGGTTGGTTTAGTTGTGGAGCTTTCGTCGTCCTTCTGGACAACATCCCCTCTCAGCGCAATATTTAGCATAAAGTGAAATGATTTAAATTTCTTCATGAGTGATATAACTGCGTCTCCCATCTTTACATATATATTAACCATTTTCTATTGACTTGGATTGCAAACTTTCTGGTCACCTGATTTTCTTTTCATTAGTTGGTATATTTCGTCGATATTAACGTGTTTGTTAAATTGCATTTTCGTGTGAGTACCAGGCTTCTAGGAATTCCCTGACTGCACTTTTGGTGTTTCCTCTGTCTAAGATTTTGACATTATCCCAATCAAATTGATGACCATAATTGTCTATATGCATTGATACTAAAGAATATATATCGTGTCTTTTCACGGCTGATTTGTGTTCTTGAATTCTGATTCGAAGGGGACGCCCACTTTGGCCGATGTAATACTTGTTGCAGTTCGTACAATTTATTTTGTAAATGGTATTAATTTTATCCCATTTTTCTGTTGAATCTTTCGGTTTGCATAATATCGAATTAAGTGATTGAACTGACTTGTGTGCTATATCTATATCAAACGGTTTCAATATTCTAGCTGTTATTTCAGAGATATTTTTTATGTATGGTAGGATGAATTTTCTTGTGGTCTTTGATGATGGTTCCTTGTTGGTGTTTTGATTCGACTTTAAACCTTTTTTGATGAAATTTTGTGGATAACCATTCTTTTTGAAGACCGTTTGCAAGTACTTTTCTTCCATTCTTTTCAACTCTGGAGTAGTGCTACAGTGTGTTTGAACTCTTTTAAACCATGTCTGCACACAGTTTCATTTGTGAGTAATTGGATTATTGCTAGTATAGTTGAGTACTTGATCTGTGTGCGTTGATTTTCTATATACTTATGTTTCTAAAGGCTTCTAGGAATTCCCTGACTGCACTTTTGGTGTTTCCTCTGTCTCATCTTGGGGATTATTTTGTATCCAGTTATACAACGTGTAGTAATCATCATGGTAGTAGTTAGTCACAGCTAATTCTCATTTTTTGTTTGTTTTGTTTTGTTTTCGTAATCATAATTTTTTTATTACAGTGTGCGTCGTATATCTTCATATCTACTGTTTTTCCATTTTTCTCTCTCTTTCATTTCAGGTTAGGATGAATACGTCCCCCCCAGACAATATTCAATGCGTGTGTATGTGTGTGTGTCACCTCGTTCGCCATCATTTTTATTATATATACATATTAGCGTGTTGTCAATATAATTGGTTTGTTGTTGTATGTACGTATGTCTGCTTGTATGTGTGTGTATGTGTGTTTGAATGTTGTTATGTTTATGTATGAACGATTGTATGTGCTGAGAGTGCGTGTGTATGTTTGCCTGTGAGGGTGTGTATGTGTTGATGTGTGTGTGTGTGTTTGATGATAAATTTCAGGTTTGGTGTTCTATTATGCTCTCTCCTCATCTACACTCACTCTCACAAGTTTTTATACTCATTCCCTTTGTTTTTTCATATATATATGCATCTACTTACTACTCGTCATATTACCGCACACATTTACACACACACACACTCACACACACATCACATGCATACATACATACCTCTCGACACACTACCCCCCAGGTTTATATATTATAACTTCTTGCGTTGTTCTCTCTCTCGTTTTTTATTATTTACAAGCTTTGTTATGTTTCTTGCATTCTTTGTATGTGTGCGTGTGTGTGTGCGTGTGTGTGTGTAAATGTTGCCTCTTTATCCTACTTTTCTCTACCTTCTTTTATTATTAATTAAAAATAATAACGGGCGAAATTTTGTACTTTGTTGTTGGTTGGCTGAATAAATATAGATGAGTTATACTCTGCCAAGTGGGATATTTTGACTTTTTTTTACGTTACTACTACTACTACTAGCAGGGATAATGAGTAGTAGTTGGTTGCGCGTATGTTATGTAGAACGGGAGCCTGTCTCTCAGAAGGTTAGATCGCGAAAATAAGTAAGTTTCATGGCTTTGCGTTGTTTTTTTTGGGGGGGGGGAATCGAACTTCAAGCTTCAACTATGAGGTTTCAGTAAGAGGTGGCGATTTTTTTCTACTGGGTAGAGTTGCTAGCCCCTTTCCCCGACTTACTTCAGCGTAGGCGAAGTTTAGGAATAAGTGGACCGATAATCGAACCCCGGGTTGTGCACCACTGGCGGACGATAACGAGTAGCATACGAAATAATCGGAGTAGTGTTTTTATATTTTCATTCGTCTGCGTTCAAGAAGTAGAACTTAGAAGGGGCTTTGAAATTTCAGTAGCAGTAGGTTTTTTCTGTTGTGTTGTTGGGTCAATAAATCCCACCTCCCACTCTTTCCTAGGCTTACACTATCGGGGAGTAAATCAGAGGGAACAGGACCACTTGTGTAGTTGGTTGCTCCCATATGACCGCGTGTCTTACATAGCCTCTCCTGAGGAAGTCCTACTCACTGCCTTCACGTGGCGAAGGTGTTTTTCACCAAAGTGAGAGGGCGAAAGCGGATGCCCGACGCTCTTCACCGAGTTGACTGTCCATTGGATGACAGTCTAGGGGAGATGGCTAAACCCTGATTCAAAACCTCCAACGACTGGCGTATGAAGCTCACTGGAACTCACCGGCAGACGTATGGACAAAGGGCTTGTTGGATGTCCTGGATGTCTGGCCCCATTCAAAAAGGCGTATGAACCGAACTCCGGTCACCGGCTGCCAATGGATAGTGGACTCCCTGCTCCACTCCTACTGCCTTGTAGGTCACACTTGGTTGTGTAAAGGCTAGAGCTGCACTCTCAAACAAAAGGCCGAGCGATTCTGGGGACATCACTCGTACCAAATTCCCATGAAACTTCATGAACTCTCTTCATCAGATCGCCACGCCTGGGCAGCGATGATTCGAGATGTTCATGAAGCCGGCTCATCCTTCCGTAGGAGATAGCCGAAGTGAAGTAAAAGTAAAGTTGCAGGAGAGTATTCTGCGATTATTCAGGGCCGGTATTGATGCTGAATATGAATCACAATACAAAGATTCATAGTATTAGTATGCGCGTAAATTGTATGGTTTAAGCAAATGCCTTTATTGTGTTTTTGAGCTCATTCTGTTTATCAGGTGTTGGAAATCAAGAGTAGTGATCTTAAAGCGACTACCCACCACTCAGAGTAAACCAGCGTAAAAACAGATTATAATCGTCGTAGTAGAAGATGTTTAAAGAAATGTAACAGTGTTAACTTTGAAGTATATATCATGAAAATAACTTCCAATTCCTAGTAGGACTGTCGACATTCACTAAGATAACTGTTGTTAAGCTTCTACAGGAAAAGGAGTTACTTAAAAAAAGCATTCGGTTTTAATCCCTTTTTTTCCCAGATTTAATCTACTCCATAAAATGGTGAAGTTGACTTCTCTGTTAATGGTCTACGAGCTCGCTAGTCTTGTAGTCAGAAGGTGCTGAGTTCCAACGCCGGTGGGTGCGTGCTGGTAAGGAGTCCCACCCAAACTAGGACGAAACAGTTGTCCAGTACTCCCATTTGCTTTTCCAGTAGTTCTCTAACCGATGTCAGCTTACAGTGAAATTATCCAATTTCATTATTACCGACGCAAACTCTGATTGGATGCCTCCAGGTTATAGAGTTTCGTGATAATAATAATAATCCCAGGGGATCGGTATTCTTCTTTATTGGATATCACACAATAGACAGACAAGCGTAGTGCAGTTTTAGCCAAAAACACTGGATTCTTCAATCCCATGAATACTACTACTGTGGTGAGAGCTGTCTACTAGCCAAATTGGTAGACAGTAATTGACGTTAATATTTACGTTCCCAAGATTTGTCGTGAGAAAATGTGAACAAAGATTGATTCAAAACCGACCACAGCCTACTTTGCGTAGGCGGATGCAGTTAACATATAGAGGATTTGACATTCAAGAAACAGTCACAAATAGATGAAAGATTAACGTTACGTGAGAAACAACCAATCGGAAGACTGTGTTTGTTTGCTTAAATATCCATAGTAATGTACATGAAAACATATATAAATATGCGTTGATTTCCTTAATAAATGATCTGTTGCCTGACTCTTGCCTTCTGTTGTTACACTACTACTACTACTACTAATAATAATAATCCAATTGATTTTAACATTTAGGAGAATTTTATGAGTAGCTATCGTAATAATAAGAATGATAATCTACTTTATTCCAAAAACAGTACTTATAGTACAGAATGGAATTCTCAGCATTAGTCACAATATCTTGCATCTGATTTACTTAAAATATAAATAAAATTAAAAATTAAAACAAAATTAACCAGAGGAATTTGTCCACATTTACGGTATATAGTCAAAAATATTCGAAATACAAAATGAGAATATTAAACATAATAATAATAATAATAACAGTGAGTTTGTTTCAAACAGTATTGTCGATTCAGTTTGAAAATTTTAGCATTTTTAGAATATTGAATCTAATGTTCTGTTTATATAGTAGCATGGTGAGAGGAAAGACAAAAAATAACAGTTATTACACAGCTTAAATTATGTTTACACTTATGAGAAAATAAACAAAACCAATTGAAAAGATTATAAATATAAGAAGAACAATAAGAATAAAGATGGAGAAAATGGTTTATTTACTAGTGCAAAGAAGATTAGTTTGTTCATGCCTGACACTATTTTCACCACATAAAGTACGTGCCAAATATGGTATAGCGGAATTTTTATACTTAGACCTGCACGCATAAAGTTTTCTGAAAAGACTTCTAGTTTTACCTGAGGAGAGACAAGGTTGAAGCTCCGGGTAAAGTGAATGCTCACAATCTGACAAAAGCCCTCCGGTAAATTTGTTGTATGAAATTAAGTGTCCATCAATGACGATGTCCACGATATGGCCCAATGGGATACCACCACTCGCCCTACTGACAGTCTTTAGAGTTCTACGAAGTATGACATAGTCTTTTTTAAGCAACCCAGGAAAGAATAAGAGTGAACAGTAAAGAAGAATAGGTAAAATATACGAGTTGATAAACTGTAAGAGGAGTGGTTGAGTTATGCCTGAGTGCCTCAACTCCTTAATGTAAAAAGTCAGACGAAATATTCTTTTCGAAATCGCTAAGACATGGGAGGACCAGGATAGGCTAGAAGAAAGAATTAATCCAAGATACTTAACACCAGACTTGATTTCTATATCAATATCATCAATTTTGCAACGGTCATGGGAACCAACAGCTTCATTTAACTTTGTTTTACATAGGAAACTGAAATTAACAGTCTGGCATTTGGAAGGATTTGGTTTAAGACCATTTGTTTACTCCTAATAGAAAACTGTTCATCTTAGTAAAGCCTAGCTGGAAGTTAACATACATTGAATACTCAGCGAAGTTCATTTCGTCATCAGATTGAGGCAAGTCGTGCAAGAAGAAAGAAAACAGAAAAGGAGAAACGACAGCGCCTTGAGGGGCATCAGCCTCATTAAGCAATCAAGTGGACGAGTTCCCCTGTCACACAGTGTACTGCTTTCTTCCTGAGAAATAAGAATGCAGCCATTTGACAACCCAACAGTCTGAGTTTCAGCAAGCTTGTTTAACAAAATGTCCCTAGGTACTAAGTCGAAAGCAGATGTGTAATCTAGGAGGGTGCAACGAACAATCATCTTCAAGGTATGAGGAATTCCCATGTCACGTAATTAAGAACAGATATAACTCAGTAAATAGATCTTCACTTCACTTCAAAGCTGTCTGTACTGTTATTTAGGAGCTTATGTATACAATGTGTTGATTAGCTACAAAGGTCAGAAGTTATTGTTACATTTAGTAACAAAGATAAACCAAGGCATATGAGAATTACCAATATGTGAAAAACTGTTTAGTAATCTTATGTAATCGAGAGAGTTAACAACTAATTAGTTAAGTGGTAAGCAATTATTTGATATTGCGTCGGTGGCACAGCGATAGAATGCTCGCCAACCATGCAGGTAATTCGGGGTTCGATCCCCGGCTTGAAGCCCCCTATGTTCCATTGGGAAAGTAATGGAATAAGAAAAAAATTATTTGAAAATTCAATCTTTGGATCGTACAGTCTTGTCTTCTGGTAAGTAGTACATCGAGGAATGGAAATGCCATGTTCGATTCACGTTCTAAGGTGAATTTTATTGACGGGTGTTCTGCGTTGAAGGTTTTGAGGAGATAACATAAATCAGATTTTTCATCACAAATCATGAACTTATCTCCTGTATAAGTGCAGTTGACTTATCAAAGGATCGAGGATGTTGTTTTCGAGACTCGCCATGAAGCAGTCGGCTAGGAGTCGACCAAGAGGAGACTTCATCGCTACACCATCTTTCTGTATATTGAATTTGAACTGGATATTAAAGGTACATCTGAGAAGTAGTTCCTTCAGGTAGTTTATGGGAAGAGGAACTTCTAGGTTGTTGGTTTCGATGTAGTCACAAATGAAGCATATTGTTTCGGTCAGGAGGATGCTTGTGAATAGAGAGGTGAAATCTAGTGAGAGCATTTGTCTTTAAACACGTTGATATCCTTCACTGAGTCAGTGAAGTCAAATGTATCGCTAAGGCTATATTTTGTCATATGTCTTCTTACTGGTTCAAGGATATCAGCTAGCCACTTCGCAATCTGATGATATGGTGAGTTAACCATGTCTATGATAGGTCGAATTGGAACATTCTCCTTGTGCACTTTAGGCAGTCCATACAGTCTTGGAATAGTTTAACTGCATGGTTTTGTTTCCTCATATACCTCCGATGTTGTGACTGAATCTTCTTTCATTCTCTTCAGCAATTTTGTAAGTAGGTTTTCTTTTTGAAAATTGATAAGAAACAAGAGAACCAGGGATCATAC